AAGGCCGTAACACTGAAAAAGAAATACTAGCAGCATGTGAAAGAACTTGATCCGCTTCAGAAGTAGCTGGTGCTGAACCTCAGCTCTTTTTGGCACCTTAATTGTCTGTGCTCAGCTGGATATTCAAAGGGCGGGTCCCCTCTACACGTCACACAACTGAAGTCAAAACTTGGAGTGTGTCGCACTGATAATGCAATGGACTTGAGTGGGAAACCTTGACTGTCTGGGAGTTGAATCGATTGTGGGGTGGACAGAGGGCCCAATTTTGGAGCGGCACCAGAGGAGGTGACTTGTGCTGGAGGTCCCACTGTATAACAAATCACCAGAAAACAATAAACAATATGCGCTGTTTACAGATGGATCCTGTCATATTGTGGGAGAACATCAAAGGTGGAAAGCTGCTGTGTGGAGTCCTACACAAAAAGTCACAGCTATTGCTGAAGGAAAAGGTGAATCAAGTCAGCTTGTGGGAATGAAAACTAACAAGCTGCCTTTAGATACTGCTAACCCAGAAAAATGGCCAATGGTTTATTTGTATACTGATTCACAGATGGTGGCAAACAGCCAGCGGCGGTGGTTGCAGCTGTGGAAGCAGACCAACTCACAAAGCAGAGATAAACCCATCTGGGCTGTTGAACTGTGACAAGGTATTGCTGCTTGGGTGGAGAAAATGGTTGTAAAAGTATGTCACGTAGATGCTGACATACATAAGAGTCAGGCCACTGAAGAACACTGAAACAATGAGCAAGTGCACCAGGCTGCTAGAACTGAAGTGGATCAGCTGGATCTGGGCTGGGAACAAAGGGTGAGTTATGTATAGCTCAATGGGCTCGTGACACATCAGGACATCTAGGAAGAGATGCAACATATAAATGGCCTCATGATCGAGGTGTGAACTTGACTATTGCACAGATTACCCATGAATGTGAAAGGTAGGCCATAAGCAAACAAGCCAAGTGTTCAAAGCCATTTTGGTATAGGGGACGGTGGCTGAAATATCAATATGGGGAAGCCTGGCAGATAGATTATATCACATTACCATGAACCCACCATAGCAAGCACTGTGCTTAAAATGGTAGAAGCAATCACCAGTTAGCTGGGAATGTACACTGTGCCCCACACCACTGACCGAAACACTATCATGGGCCTTGAGAAACAAGTCTTATGGCAGCACGGCTCCCCAGAAAGAATTGAGTCAGACAATGGGACTCATTTCCAGAACAGCCTTACAGACACTTGCGCCAAATAACATGGCACTGACTGGGTATATCTCATCCCCTACCAGGCACCAGCCTCTGGGAAAATGGAATGGTACAATGAGCTGTTAAAAACTACACTGAGAGCAATGGGTGGTGGGACTTTCAAACACTGGGATACACACTTAACCAAAGCCACTTGGCTAGTTAACACTAGAGGATCTGCCAGTTGACCTGACCCTGCCCAATCAAAAACCCTGTGCACTGTGGGCGGAGATAAGATCCCAGTAGTACAGCCCCATAGTACATAAAAGGAACTGGGTGGAAAAAAAACAGTGTGGGTTATTCCTTCTTCAGGAAAGGGTAGACCTATTAATGGGCTTGTTATTGCTCAAGGACCTGAGTGCACTTTAGGTAGGTAATGCAGAAGAATGGGGAAGTCCAGTGTGATTTAAACCTGGATAAAAATAATCTGTGATTTAAGTTGTATGACAGCAGTGTTACATGATGCTGTATTACAGCAGGAACTCTCACTACTAGGCAAAATAGAGGCAAGAGGAGGAATTTATTGCAATGCTATGCCCTACTCCAAAGGAACCAGGACTGGAGAATGTAATGGATATGTCTTCAAATTGTTGTAAACTGTGATTTGAGTAACATAGAATCATAGAATAGTTAGGGTTGGAAAGGACCTTAAGATCATCTAGCTCCAACCCACCTGCCATGGGCAGGGACACCTCACACTAAACCATCTCACCCAAGGCTCTGTCCAGCCTGGCCCTGAACACTGCCAGGGACTGGAGCATTCACAACTTCCCTGGACAACCCATTCCAGTGCCTCACCACCCTTACAGGAAAGAATTTCTTCCTTATATCCAATCTAAACTTCCCCTATTTAAGTTTTAACCCACTACCCCTTGTCCTATCACTACAGTCCCTAACAAAGAGTCCATCCCCAGCATCCCTATAGCTCCCCTTCAGATACTGGAAGGCTGCTCTGAGGTCTCCACGCAACCTTCTCCAGGCGGAACAGCCCCAACTTTCTCAGCCTATCTTCATACAGGAGGTGCTCCAGTCCCCTGATCATCCTTGTGGACCTGCTCTGGACTTGTTCCGACAGTTCCATGTCCTTTTTTAAACCACCTGAACGAAAAAAGGATGAACCTCACATGAATCGGTGCTAGTGCAGCAGTGACCTAACTTACGCTAGTTCTAGTGCCCAGTAACTCTGCACAACACACCACCTCTCCTGCCTGACTGAATACCATAACAGGTGAAGCCCAAAGCCCTAGACCAAATGAAGTCAATTAACATTCTGTGGATATTTATGGACATTTCACAAAGATTTTATGAACAGAGAACAGGGAACAGAGTGGTTAAAGAGGAGAGGGTAGGACCTGAACATCATGTAAACCGTGTGGAATAACGTATGTAAATGTGCCAGCTTTGGCTGGGATAGAACTAAATTTCTTCACAATAGCTCATATGGGGCTATGTTTTGGATTTGTGCTGAAAAAGGCGTATACAACACAAGAATGTTTTCATTATTGCTGAGCCGTGCTTACACAGAGTCAAGGGCTTTTCTGCTCCTCACCCCACCAGTGAGTAGACTCAGGGTGCACAAGAAGCATGGGAGGGTACACAACACTGGGCAAGATCTTTTCAGCTATAAGTGGATCAACTACACTGTCTTCAGGAAAATTTCACCATAAATATTTGGCGGACAGGTTTCCTGAGTTATCTGCAAGTGATGCAATCTTCCACAGCTGTAGACAAGCAGCAACATTTTCAGTACTTCTTAGTAGCTTTTCAAGCTGGAGAGTGTTACACTAATGACATGCTGAGGTGACAAAGACAGCAGTTATGGGGTGAGACTCCAGAAGATGTCTGAGTCACAATCAAAACAGGCACTCCACCTCTGCTTCCTGCCAATCCTATGCCTGGGCAATCCCATCCCCATTGGTACCAGTCTGGCAGGTTTCTGATCCCAAATTAGCCTGGTCTCAAAAAAAAAATCCACAGAAAACCTCAATCTCTCCTTTATTTATTTTTTTTTTGTCTTGGTAGGCAAGTTTTCATAAAGGAAAAGAGTATCCGTTGCACAACACAAAACAAAAACTATTTAAAAGACATACCAAATACTTGTTAGAGCTAAGTAAATGTAATTACAGAGAAACTGGAAATCCAATTAATTGCTGTAAGCTGGAGCAAAAAGTCTGTGTCAGATTCAAGATCAGCTCACAGAAATGCCAGCGATTACATCTCTTAAAAAACAAAATAAATTATTCTGTGATGCCCAATACTGTGATGTATTCTCTGTGTTCAGTCTTATCACTTATATGTATCTAGCTCATCTTATGTTAGTGAGTTGTACTCTTTTAACATTTTTCAATCTCTCCCTCCTGTTTTCTTTAATTGCAGGTAAATTTTGCAGAATTTGCTAAGTCACTCTCCCATTTCAGTATATTTGTATTCAATATTCTAAGTTTACTTTTTCTCACAAAAGCTGACTAATTATATCTTGATGCTACCTATTTAGAACAAAATCTCAGCTAGGAAATGTTGGTGTCTTCCAAGTATCATGTGTATTAAGGACATATAACCTTTTTAGCTTACTTTCTCTTGAATTAGTCTGATCATAGAAAATGCTAGTAAGCGTAAATTATTTATTCATCATAAAACAGAATCTTTGAGTTTCATAAAGACAACAGGAATTCTAGTTCAAAAAAAATGACAGGAACTTGAGAGAGTCTTGCATTCGTGTACTAGTGACACCAGACCCTAAGACATAAGACTAGACACTGTTTGACTCACTGCAGTCACTGTGACTTGGAACATGCTGAGCCTGCAGCCACTCAAACAACTTTATGGAAGTAGGAAGCAAGACAAGGCTCAGAAATGTTTCCGTGTTTGGCTCCTCCAGCCACATCTGCTCACAACAGTGGTTTTGTAAGTTAAGCTATCCTCCCACACCAGGACCTCTCCCGAGAATGTCTTGCCCAGAGTTCGTTCTTATTTTGAAGGGCTCATACAGGAAAAGGCAAAAGGTGTGAACTTGACTATTGCAAGCTATAGCCTAGTGCTGATGCAAAGCACTAGGCTATAAAGCTATCATGTCCTGTCTTTGAAAGGTACCATAAGTAATTTTGGAAAGTCTCTGCTACGTATATCCCTTCAGAATCTGTATACTTGTACACATTTTGCTAAGGAAGTCTGGATTAGCACGGGAAGGAGAATTTCCATGAGGTCCATCTGATGAGGTAGGTTAAGAGCACCTTTTTTCCATAAATATGAAAGCAGAAAAGAATTTGGAAGCAACCCTCCTTAACTAGTCAGTAAGGGGGTGATGAAAAGGGCACTCAGAAAGAGGAAGAAATGGCTAAGCAAGTGCAAGCAACCTTTACAAAACAGACAGGTCACCTAATTCGGTAAGAAAGGTCATTTAGTGATAAGGAAACCAGGAGCTTTTCTTTTACATGTATGTGTCCACTTCCCCACCTGCCCCGGGTTTTCCCACTTCCTGTAATTTGTGTTTCTGGTTCCCGTGATAATTAGCTCTGAGCATTAGCTACTGGTTATTTTTTTGCGATGCGGGATATATGGGGTTGGCATACAGCGGGGTAGCGGTGCCTTCAGGTCCCCAACGGGAGCAAACGACTTCACCTCTACCGACTAGACCTCTGCCCACCACCGAAGCCCTCTCAGCTACCCACATGGCTCCGCAGGCCTGCAGCTGCTCGAAAGTAACCTTCACGCCGAGCCCTCGGACCCGCCTCTAGCGTCACGACACGCCCCCGTGGGGGACGGGCCGGGGCCGCACTGCCGGAAGACCGGGGCGGCTGGGTCGCACGGGGGAACCGGTATCGTTTCCGCCGGGGCACAATGGCAGAGGGGCGGTAGCGGCTGGGCTGTCGGCGGCCGGTGAGTGTCCCTTCTTTGGTGGGTGGCGGCCGGGCGACGCCTGGCTCGGCCGCGGCCCGTTCCTGCCCTCCCCTCCTGGGCCGCGGCCCCTCGCCTCGCGGGCTGCCGGGTTGAGGCGGCGGTGCAGGGCAGGGCTGGCCCGGGGAGGGGGAGGCTGCTGCGCCACAGGCGCCGCCGCCCCTGTCCTGCTCCAGTCGGCCCCTCGCCTCCTCTAGGCTTTTCCCTGAACCTTGAGTTGCACGGAGTAAGGAGGGCAGGAGAAGGCTGGGGGCCTTCGTCAGCCGCGGGGAGGACGGCTGGGAGCCGCGGCGTGCGAGTAGGGGAGCCCCGGGCCACGGAACGTGTTTCCTGCGTTGTGGTGACGGAGGCCGGTGTTGTGCACCACCGTCAGGGGCCCGTTGACAACATGGCTGGTGGTGCCTCCTGCGTATGGCCCCGCGTGGGGCCGTGCGGCCCCATAGCGGCGTGGCTGTAACTTTGGGGCAGTCCACCCCAGTGTAGCCCCCGCCCAGCTCCTGGCCAGCTTCTGTGTTCGTAGTTAGGAGCCAGAGGCAGGCATGGACTTAGGACTCTTTGCTCCCTTCCAGGGCCAGCAGTGTGTCGTCATCCAGGTTGGTGGCTGGGTGTGGGCTTTGCTTCTGGGAATGACTCTAAAACAGGCTGGTTTCAGGTCACTCTGAAATTCAGGTGTGACAGCAGTTCCTCTCCTAAAATAGGAAGCAAATCCACTTTGTGTAGCTGAAACTTTTCTTTCAGAGCCTACCTGGAATAGCTGCATCTCTGCAGTTGTACATAACATGCTATGAATTCAGGTTATTAGGCTAGGAATCCTATTTGTTTTGTCAATCGCTTGAGAGAAAAAAAAACAAACCTCTGCTGCTTAAGGGGGGTGGACACTGAAAGCCTTAAGCCTACAGAAAGTAGACATGGAGATGCCTAAGGGTGCCTTTGGGGTCTGCGAAACTTAGAAAATGTTTAAGAAAATCGGGTACCCTACTCCCATACTAAAGGCAACAAGACATTTCCTGCTGTTTCAGCACTTCTTGTAAGTGCCCTTCAGCCTTTTCTGTGTCCATAATCATATGCATGTCTTTTGAAAGAGCAAACCTTTTTTTGTTTGGTTGCATGCGGCTATATTTAAATCATACAATACTCACTGTTGATGTGACCACTCCTGCTTATGTGTGTGCCTATGTCTTTTCCAGGTAACTCCCCCTTTCACAATCCACAAAGGGTTTATGCAAACATGGAGTTATAGCTGCCTGGAAATCTTTTACAAAAAAGAACATGGATGTGGCCAACTGTTGGGAGGGGAGGAGGAGCAAATCAGTAGCCCAGGTGTTTTAGAGAATACTAAAATACAAACTATGAATGCTTAATACTGAGTGATGTGAGACTTAAGAATGGTAGTCTGGGTAAAATGTGCAGAGTATACTAGGAGTGTAGCCTTGTTTCTCATCCACTGTGTCACATCTGCCTGACAGACATGTAGAACTTGAGTACCAGCCTACCTCCTCTGGTAACAATTTTCATTCTTAACAAGGTGAACAGTGTCTAGTGTGGGGAGAGGGGAATACTCAGATGATGTAGAATGGTTTTGAGGCCACCCTTGTTACTGCCTTTTATGTTCTTACATATTCAACATTCTACAGAGTTCCTTTGGTCATTCTTTCAAACCTTTCCTATGCTGAGCTGAGACTGTCACATGGACTTTTGAGAACAGTCATCTGTGCTAATGGCATCTAGACCTTTATGCCCAAAAAAGCCATTAGCTGTCTCTGTATTTAGTAAACCAGCCATAGACATTTGACATTTCCAGAGAAGGAACTTAGCAGAATTTTGAACTGCCTTTCATTGGAGAAAATTTTGTTTTCCTCAAAGACTTGCTTTGCTTATGGTGTTACAGAGCTAGGGCTTTGACTGTTTACTTTTCCATAAAAATACTAACCAGTGTTTATCACTTGATTCATTTTGAAATACAACTTTTAACTGTTTTATTTCTAGGTGTGAATTACTAAGTTGAACAGCAATAACCATGGGAGATGCTGCAAAACCTTTCGTTGCCAAACAAAATCAGGAACAGGAAATTTTACATCAGGAAGAATTAAAAGGAAGTTCGTTACAGAAAGAGTACCATGACTTTATGGACGAATGCGGAAATGGCCATATGAAGAAAATATATACCGGCCTGCAAAAAAAACAGGGAACACCGGGTCACTACGGAGGCATTCCCAGACGAGGGCCACGTAGTGTTTTCAGTAGCCCAAATTCAATTAAAAATGCAGTACACAGTCAGAAGTCAAAGTTAAATGATACCCAAAGAGACCAAATAAAGAAGTGGGTATCTGATCATCATGGTACTTATGACAGCTGGAGAGAACACCGATCTGTTGCCCAGATTCCTGTGCATAGCAGGACAAGAAGGGACTCTCTTCATGAGTTTGAAGGTGCTGGAAACAGAAATGGAAGACAACTTCAGGAAGACTTCATGAGTGAAGATGTGTCAAACATGCAGAAAGAAAGCTCTGGTAATCAGTGTTTGGTTTCAGGGGTATTTTGTACAGCTGTCCGGTAAAGTAGCTTGCTGTGTCTGTTACTGAAAAGTAAAATTTCAAGATTCACTGTTAAAGCAAAAAAAATATTTTTTTCTCTGTCAAATGTTGCAAACTATGGACTGTACTATACTGCAGCACTTTAAACGATTGTTTAAATTGTTACAGTGAATGATACAGAAATTATTCTATAAATTGTGTTGTAAGCTTATGAGTGGTAGTAGGTGGATTGCCACATCTGTGCAGTGCCCCTGTTTGCAGTTTTCCAGGTATGATGTGATTGAATCTGTTAAGGTTGATAAGGGATCTTTAAGTTCAGGTGATACAAGCATTGTGTTTTAATCCGAGCCCAGAGACTATAATTGCCACAGAGCTTCTAACTCACCCCTCCTCCTCCCCCAGTGGGATGGGGAGGAGAATCAGAAAAAAGGTAAAGCCTGTCAGTTGAGATAAGAACAGGTTTTAATAATTAAAATAAGGTATAATGTAATACTAATGCTACTAATAATAAAGAAATGGGAAATTACAAAAGAGAAAAGCAAACAAAAAGAGAAAAATAAAACAAAACCAAACAAATCAGCAAAAGGTGATGCACAATACAATTGCTCACCACCCACTGATGGATAGCCTGACCTGAGCAATGATCTGCCCTTCTGGGTGACTCCCCCCAGTTTAAATATTGGACATGACATGCTGTGGTATGGAATACCTCTGGCTAGTTTGGGTCCTGTCTTTGCTCCTTCCCCGCATCTTGTGCACCACTTCAGTGGCAGAACATGAGAGACTGAAAAGTCCTTGATAAGGATAAGAGCTACTAAGCAACAACTAAAACATTGGTGTGTTACCAGCCTTTTTCTCACACTAAAGCCAAAATCCAGCACTGCACCAGCTACTAGGAATAAAAATAACTATCCTAGCTGAAACCAGGACAACAGGGTGAGATTTTAGAGCTACTGATGAGGTCTGTAACAACATATGTTAACAAAGATATAAGACAATACTGCATAGCAATAGTAATACAACAATAACACAAAACTAATTCTCCATGCATACTGAACTTCTCTATGGGCAGTTGATACTAATAGTTGAGAGTATAAGCCCTGAGTACTGAAATACAAGGGAGGGCAGGCTAAGGGAGGATAAAGTGATCAATATCAAAATATCTTCATTGAGTGAGAGTAATAAAAGGAACTGTAAGTGGACAGAGGAAGCTTGAAAGAAGAGAATATAATTAAATAATGATTAAAGCGTAGATGAGGTGCTACTACTGGGACGTAGCTGCCTGTTAAGTCTTGTTCTAGTTAAGAAGGGGGCCAAAGACAGTATTGGTCTGCCCCCACCCTGCTGAGGAGGAATGCTACTGATGGTTGTTACTGGGAAGTCCAGGAATTAAATGTCCTTTCCCATGGTATCAGCTGCCACTAAAAGATAGAACTGTGAGCAGTGTCTCTTATTGTTAGAATCAAGTTGCACACTTAACTTCAGATGAGGAGAAAGCAAAGTAGAATGTTTACACAAGTTTGTCCTTGAAATTGCTGGGTTGAATGACCTTTTTCTGTGAAACTTCAGGAACTCACTGAAGTAGATTTTTGGAACCACTCAATTATGATTGGAGAACTTACTCAGAAGTGAGCAACTGGCCTACAGGAAAGGGCAAACATCTCTTAAAATTGGGATTTTAAAGTATGCAGCTTTAATTTTGGAAATCCATTCTGGAACAAATAACGTAACCTAACATGGCCTTCTATGATGGGGCTATGGAATTGATGGATGGGGTAGAGTTGACATCATCTGTCTGGACTTGTGCAAAGCGTTCAACACTGTCTCCCGCATGACATCCTTGTCTCTAAATTGGGGAGACATCAGTTTGATAGGTGGACCACTCAGTGGATAAAGAACTGGCTGGATGGCCACATGCAAAGAGTTTGGTCAATGGCTCAGTGTCTAGTTGGAGACGAGTAATGAGTGGTGTCCCTCAGGGATCAGCATTGGGATCAGTGTTGTTCAGCATCTTTGTCGGTGACGTGTACGGTAGGATTGAGTGTGCCCTCAACAAGTTTGCTGATGACACCAAGCTGTGTGGTTCGGTTGATACCCTGGAGGGAAGGAATGCCACCCAGAGGGACCTTGACACGCTTGTGAGGTGGGCTGATGCCAACCTTATGAAGTTTAACCATGCCAAGTGCAAGGTCCTACACCTGGGGCAGAGCAATCGCAGACACAGCTACAGTTTGGGCAAAGAAGAGATTCAGAGCAGCCCTGCAGAGAAGGACTTGGGGGTATTGGTCAGTGAGAAATTTAGCATGAGCCAGCTTCAGTGTGGGCTCAAAGCCCAGAAAGCCAACCGTATCCTGGGCTGCATCAAAAGGAGCGTGACCAGCAGGTCAAAGGAGGTGATCCTGCCCCTCTACTCTGCTCTCGTGAGACCTCACTTGGAGTATTGTGTCCAGTTCTGGTGTCCTCAATGTAAAAAGGACATGGAACTGTTGGAACAAGTCCAGAGAAGGGCCACGAGGATGATCAGGGACTGTAGCACTTTGCCTGTGAAAACAGGCTGAGGAAGTTGGGGCTGTTCAGCCTGGAGAAGAGAAGGCTGCGTGGAGACCTCATAGCAGCCTTCCAGTATCTGAAGGGGGCCTATAGGGATGCTGGGGAGGGACTCTTCATTAGGGACTGTAGCGATAGGACAAGGGGTAATGGGCTAGAACTTAAGCAGGGGAAGTTCTTTCCTGTAAGGATGGTGAGGCACTGGAATGGGTTGCCCAGGGAAGCTGTGACTGCTCCATTCCTGGTGGTGTTCAAGGCGAGGTTGGACAAAGCCTTGGGTGACATGGTTTAGTGTGAGGTGTCCCTGCCCATGGCAGGTGGGTTGGAGCTAGATGATCTTAAGGTCCTTTCCAACCCTGACCATTCTGTGATTCTACGAACAAAGGGATGTGTAGCAGTAAACATGGGTTTGTCAAGAAGAAAGTATGCCAGCTCCTTCTAGTTTCCTTTATTTCTTTAAAATAGTGGTCAGTCCCCTGTGGATGTGGGAGAAGCAGTTAGTAGATACTGCTGTTACTGATACAGTAGCATCTTAGACACTATGTGACAGTTCTGTAAGTAGAGGAAAAGTCTCCAGATGAAATTAGTACAAGAGACTTGCAGAGCTGTAATTTGATATATACCGAATACTTACCAAAGATTTTGTCAAAATAGCACAAGCATATATGAGAATCCTGTTCTGTTCAATGTTTATTACATTAGTCTGGTGATGAATGAAGACAGCATGCTTATTAATTGTGTGGTTTTAAATTTTGGTATGCTGTGGAGCTGGTAGGAACAGAATGCAGAAAAGCAGGAAGGTCAATTAAAATAACTTTGCACAATTGGCAAAGTGACCTACATACAGGATGAAATGCAGAATACATGTGATGAAAATGCCATTGCTTAAGCAGGGATGTCAACTCTACAAATAAAGGAGGAAAAGTTATTTTAAAGTAGTTTTTTTTTCAGAGAAGAATCTGAAACTGTAGTGAATCAGAAAATGCTTTCTAGTAGTCAGTGTCATGGCACTGTGAGGCGTGTAAACAGACTCACAGCCTGAAGTACTCCTGTTGCTGTAAGTCTTTGGGCTGTTTCCATTTTACTCATTCAATGAGGATGCAAAGCTGGACAGAGTACTGCAACTGAATTTACCAGAGAAGAGCAAAAATAATGCCAGGTTACATAGAGGATGGAAACTACAGAAATTGTAAACAATCACCCTTCTCTCTGCAAAAAAGGAAGCTTAGGGAGGCATGATAACAGTCTTCAACTGTCTAGAAAAAGGTATTAAAAAGCTGATGAGGTAACCTGCCTTGTGTCTTTGCAGTACATGGAACACAAAGCAATGGGCCTAAAACTGAGCAGGAAAGGTTCAGATGAGGGAAATAAATAAATTAATGAGGGGAATAAAGGGAATGTTTCTTGGGATAAAAGGTAGGGGAAGTACTGGAGAGGTTGTCTGGGCAGCTCAGGAGCATGTACCTGAGGGCCTTTAAGAACAGGCTAGGTGAGCATTGCTGAGGATTGACAAGGTTCATTTCATTCTGCTGAGAAGCACTGGCATGGCATAGCTCACCTCTTGAGGTCTCTTCAAAAGCTCTAATTCTATATCAAGTAGCAAACAATTCCTAAAAATGTGTCTCTCAGCATTTCCTTTTACTTGAACTCTTCTATGCAGTTGTCTCTTCCCTTTATGCCTTTTTACTGCAGCTTATAAGGAAGTTCACCAGATCTCTGAGGCACTGTTTTTTTCTGCAGAAGCTTTAACTTTAACTTGTCTTTGGTATTTTAGTCATTAACCTGTAATCAGATTGTCACTACCATAACTACCAAATACTAGAAGTGTTTGTTTACTTTGGAAGTTTGTTTTTAAGTTACTTCATGGTTACTAAAATAATTGATAAGTAGTTAGTTGTGACACACTTTCCTGCAAAGACATTAATTTAATAAACTTTTTTGTCTTAAGTTCTGTCTGTGCTGCTCAGTAAAATTGAAGCCAAACAACTGTGGCAGGTCTTTGGAGTTTGAGCAGGAGAGTCAATGTGAAAAATGGAAGGGATGGGTAAAGTTTAGAAACTTGGATTTCTGTTTCTGCTTCTTGAACTTCTTTTGGAATACTGTTCCTGCAACCCTCACAGCTGTATTTCTGTTTATTCCAGCATAAACTTGTGCTGCTGCTGAAAGAAATTATATTGCCATTCTTGGTCTGATCTTGTTTACAGCACTAGCACATGCATGCTGCTTTCTGAACTGAGTCAAACAACTGGTTGAAAATACACAACCAAATTGTTTCCCTTTTGCCACCTATTAGAGGCCGAAAACTGTGGTCCCAGCATAGAAACCTTTTAAATGTGTTTGCTAGAGCAGTTGTGTTACCTTTCAGTTATTGTAAATTAAAACCTAATACTATGGTAGGGGGTTTGTAGTCTAAGAAGTTAAATGAACTTTCTCAAAAGCAGGGAACTTAGGAATTGCATGCATCTGGACATCCTGTATAGCTGTTCAAGTGAGCAGTAAGATGTGATCTAAGTAATGTGTGAAGATGTGGCCTGTGTCTATTCATACCTGGGATTATTTTTTGCAGGTATTCTTTGGACCAGTAGCAATTCAAAATCAAAATGATTACAAAGTTTGCTTAAAAGTAGAAGTTGTATTTACGTTAATTTGTGCCAGAACTTTGCTGTAAAGGTAACAAGCTTTCTAAGCATGTTTATTCTGCCACTTTTATAGCTGTATTAAGCTATGTGTGCAGATTCTTAGCAAGTTCTTTATTTACTGATTTCTGTAGCCAGTAGAGGTTGATTTGGGGGTTTTGTGGTTTGTTCTGGTTTTTTGTTTTGTTTTTCACTTGTCTGTTTAATAAGGTAAAGGCAATACTGATTCATATGCTGGTTTAATTGAAAGGCAAGTCACATTGACAAGCTTTATTGCTGGTGATAATAAATTGTTCTATGTCACCTAAGCCATGGAAATGCTGTTAGCTCATACAAATCATTCAGATTGGCCTACGCTAATTCTCTGATACTCGTAGTGTTCTATGGATCAGTTCACTTTCTAGTTTGTTCATCTACCTCAGCCTGATCAGGCATCCTGAAATCTTTGGGTATTTTCTGTTTTTTTCAATATAGTGACTTACAGTGTTTGTCTCACCTATGCAGTGAAATCGAATGCATTTACTTGTATGTTTTTAGCCAGTTTTTACAAAGCTGTTTAAATAAGGTCAGTGACTTCAGTGAGACAAATCAGTGTTCTATAGTACTTTCGAACAAAGTTAATGTATGTTGTGACACAATATACTTTTGCTGTTATCGCACTTGCACATGGCAGATTATGCAACCATGCAGGGTAGATGATTTGTATCTTTGACTTGCACATGAGTAGAATGGTAAATTAAAGAAAAAAAAATGCTGTGTGGTACTCTGAAGTTATTTGACGTATTTGCTCTCATAACTCTTTATAAGAAATGAAGAAGCTTAGGAAACCAAGGAGATTGAGAAGAAATAGAAAAGCTGAGTATGATCAAGACGAAGCGGATGGTCCAGTCATAGATGAATCTATGCTGTCAGAAAAAGAACTTCTAGGATTGCAGCAAGCTGAAGAACGATTGAAGCGAGACTGCATTTATAGACTGAAGAAGGTGCCATTGTCTTTACTTGTGTAGACCTCTCCTTTTTTTGTCTATAAGAACTACATAAGGGGTACACTTTGAGCAATTTCTCTGGTTGTGGCTAGAAAGTCTAGTTATAGAATTGATATAACATATAAAACAGGTGCTGTTAGTGAATTCTTAAGAAAAAGTAGATTATGCTTTGGGTATTTTTTTACTGTAATCTTCACTTGACTGCAATTTAAGCACAAAAAAATAGCTGCTCCTTTAGTTCATGAATTAACATTATATCACTAGATGCTGGGGGTAGTGGACCAGAAAAGTTTTATTGTGTGTTTATTCAGTGTCATAGTTTAAGCCCAGCTGGTGACTCAGAACCATGCAGCTGTTAATTCACCCCCTCCACTTCTCCCTCCCTGCTCCCAGAGGGATGGAGAAGAGAATGGAAGGAATGTAGCTCCCACAGGTTGAGATAAGAACAGTCCAGTAACTAAGGTATAACACAAAACCACTACTGCTACCACCAATAATAATAATAATAATGATAAGGAAAATAACAAGGGGAGAGAATATAATTGCTCACCACCTGCCGACCGATGCCCAGCCCGAGCAGCAATCTGGGCCTTCTGGGTGACTCCCCCCAGTTTATATACTGGGCATGACGTGCTGTGGTATGGAATACCCCTTTGGCTGCTTTGGGTCAGGTGTCCTGTCTCTGCTTCCTCCCAGCTTCTTGTGCCCCTTTTTACTGGCAGAGCATGAGACTAAAAGTCCGTGATGGGCGTACGCTTTACTTAACAGCAACTCAAAACATCGGTGTTGTCAGCGTTGTTCTCAGGCTAAAGTCAAAAACACAGTACTAGCTACTAGGAAGGAGAAAAATGACTGCTACAGCTGAACCCAGGACATTCAATTTTTATATTCCATGAGCATTGGGTATTTTCTGCTGTGAAAGACGTGTTGATCTTGAGTGACAAAGGTCCACCATTCTTCAGATGTTATATTTGATACATGACCTTTTTGACTGTAAAGATGGAATTAGGAAGGCTAAAGTGAATATTTCTGGATTTCAGAGTTAGTCATTCAATTTAGCAAGGGTATTCAATGAAATGAAAGTAATGTCTTTCTATATTTTTGGTTTTTTTTTACTGTCTTTATTTTAGCAATCTCGAAGCTACCCATCAGCAAAATATACCTGCAGTTTGTGTGATGTTTTGATTGAGTCGGTGGCTTTTGCTCATAAGCATATTAGAGAAAAAAGACACAAGAAAAGCCTAAAGGTGAGTTAAAGACAAGAAAAAGTTCAAAATGTACTTTTATGAAACCGTCTCACCCTGCTAATTACAATGAGACTGCACTGCTTGTAAAATCATTCTGCAGTGATTTTTTTTCTTTTGCTATGTTTGAATCTTCTTTAAAATTATTACTTAATGGTAAAAAGAGTAAACTGAGTAAACTTGGGACCTGGACTTTGCCTTCATCCTCAGCTTTGGAATTTAATTTGTAGTTTTTTATACCTATTCAAATAAGTCTTCATTTTAAAGTATGATGCAGCAATATTTTGTTACTAGTGATTGAAGTATAATAAAAATATGGTACCAACTGACTTCTGTTTTGCTGTTCTGTAATTCTTCTCGTAGACTAGTTGTATGTATTCTTCTTGGTGTGTGTTATTGGTGTATATTTCATTGGTATATTTCAACAAGAAAGAGTTTTCATCAAGTCCAGAGCAATAAGGAGTAGCAATAAGTAAATACAATTGGTACGACAGAATTAGAAATTATAACCTGTATGTCATAGTGAAGATCTTAATTCAAGAATTGAATGTTGTTTTTTTTTTTTTCTATTTAAACATCTCTTCCTTCTTTCTCAGCTTTAAGTGGATAAAAATATTTGTAGTCTTCAGGTTTTCAATTTCTTCCTCTTTAAGTCTTACTCTTTCCCCAGTTCATAGATGGTGAAAGAATTGGTGACTTTTCTTAATGTTCCAAATATGTGTATATGTAACTGCACATTACTGAAGCCTTCTGGAATATCTGATTTTTTTATACTTGTCGCAGTTTCTCTCTTGATATTCTATATTCTTGCTTCCAATTACATCCACTATCTGGAAAACATACAGTGGTGTTACTTGTGAGGAGTTGCAGGCATTCATTCTAGCATACTAAGAGTCTCAAGAAAATCATTAAAACACCAGTGTTACTATCTTTAAAGGAGAAACAAGAAGAACAGCTGCTGACTGCTCTGCCTCCTCCAACACCTTCCCAGATAAAAGCTATTGGTGTTGCCATTGAAAATGTAGTGCAGGAGTTTGGCTTAAGTAACGAAGATCTAGAAGAAAGGTTCAACATTAAAACAGTGATGGAAAACTTACTGCGTCAAAAATTGCCAGGTATTATTTGCAATTTGTTTAAGTGCTAGATATGCCAACTATAATATAGTATTAAAACAAGGGGGGGGGGGGGGGGGGGGGAAGGGGATGACCAAAAAAGAAATAACCATGGTTCTTATGACCCAAACAGACCTGTAGTAGAAAGTGAAGATGAACAAGACATGGGAGACATTTGACCTTCATGGTAACTCTTTGCTAGCAACAGCATGGAAGGCAGGATTTACTAACACAGCTCTGTGCTGTTGGAAGACTTAATTTCCTGTAGTTATCAAAATTAAAATCTGCTTAATTATTGCTTAATGCTAATGGTAAAAAGAGTAAACTGAGTAAACTTGGGACCTGGACTTTGCCTTCACCCTCAGCTTTGGAATTTAATTTGTAGTTTTTCATGCCTATTCATATAAGTCCTCATTTTAAAGTAGGACACAGCAATATTTTGTTAGTAGTGATTTAAGTACAATAAAAACATGGTACCAACTGACTCTTCTGTTTTGCTGTTCTATAATTCTTCTCGTAGACTAGTTGTGTATATTATTCTTGGTGTATATTTCATTGGTATACTTCAATAAGAAAGAGTTTTCATCAAGTCTAGAGCAATAAGGAGTAGCAATAAGTAAGGCTTAAAATCTACTGACAGTGCTGTACAGTAGTTACAGACTTAGAATTAGGTATATCTTAAATGCAGTATAATTCTTCTTGTTTCAGAGTGCTCATTAAGATTGTATGGCTCCTCCTATAGCAGATTTGGTTTTAAAACTTCAGACATAAACATAGATATCCAGTTTCCTGTCAATGTAAGTAAGACCATTTTATTAAGCATGCCTAAGTGGTTTTAAATGTTTGCACCTTTATGAGTTTATAGCTTAAATATAATTTATGGTGTGGTTGTAGCACTTTTTATGAAAATGCATGGAGGTACAAGAGAGCTATCACATTAAAATGTCTTAAAATAACATTCCTTGCTTTGTACGCTAGTAATGGTCAGGCAGGTTAATACAGCTTTGTGTTATATCAAATCTTCCTTCTCAAAAATTGAAACGTCTTGGCATGGTTTAAGCCCACCCAGTAACTCAGAACCATGCAGCTGCTCACTCACTCCCCCCACTTCTTACTCCCCCCCCCCCCCCCCCCCAAGAGGGATGGGGAGGAGAATCAAAAGAAAGTAGCTCCCATGGGCTAAGAGCAATCCAGTAACTAAGATATAACACAAAACCGCTGCTGCTGCCACCAATAATAATAATGATAAGGGAAATAACAAGGGGAGAGAATACAACTGCTCACCACCCAACAACTGATACCCAGCCCAACCTGAGCAGCAGTCTAGCCCTTCTGGTAAACTGTCCCCAGTTTATATTTAGTGGGTATGACATGCTGTGGTATGGAATACCCCTTTGGCTAGTTTGGGTCAGGTGCCATGTCTCTGCTTCCTCCTGGCTTCTCCTCTTCTCTGGCAGAACATAAGACTCAAAAAGTCCTTGATCGGAGTAATCATTACTTAGCAACAACTAAAAATACTGGTGTTATCAGTGTTGTTCCCAGGCTGAAAGTCAAAAACACAGCACTGCACCAGCTACTAAGAAGGAAAAAAATTACTACTACTGCTGAACCTGGGACCCATCTATACTCCTAGCAATCCTGTGGGACAGATCATTATTTACATTCTCTTATAGCTGGAATAAATGAATGGCACTTCCATGATCTTGTTTCTGTACTGATACATGAGTATCAGACTTCTTGATTTCTGGGATATTTTCAAGCTATGAAACCGTCTTACGTCATTTATATGTGAAGTAATTTAAAGTCTTGATTTGTCATGCTAGTTGTTTTGTATACATCTTTGTGCCTGAACACTGAAAAGAAATTAGAGGCTGTGAAAAGATTTTGTTTCCATACTTAAACTTATTCCTGATGTAATTCATTTGGCAGTCTTATAGTTAAAATTTAGTATTTCCTCAAGGAAAAAAAGATGGAAATGTAGGAAGAAGTTCATAAAGTGCGTATAATTCAAAAAGGCTTATTCAAAATGATTCAAAAGGCTGATGATTCCAATCTTTGACATATAGATCCACTGTGTCAGAAGGCAGTCATATTTAAGCATACTGGAATAGTATTTCTGTTGATGGCCTTTTTCCACAGCTAGGTCTTTGTCAGAAGTAAAGCTTTACTTGCAATTACTTCAGGATTTTTTTAGTTTTATTCAAAAAAAGCAAAACTGTGTTCCTTCGATAGAATTTAGCAATAGTCAAAGACTAAGAAGTTTTTTCTCAGGTGCTGTTTTATAGTTCCCTTCTTGCTGCTCTCTGTGGAAGGAAAACAGAAGTGGCCTAGGGCTGATGTTTTATTTTTTTTTGAGTTGTGGAAAATCACCTTTTTGACAGCTATGAAAACAGCTTTATTATTTTTATTGACAGATGACACAACCAGATGTTCTCTTATTTGTGCAAGAAAGTCTTCAGAACAGTGGTAAGAAAAAATTGCTGCTTTTTCATTTCCGTTAAAGTATTACTGCTTAGTATTGTTGAATTCCGCCCTGAATAGGTAAACCGTGTGCTATTCTGAATGTTTTTTAGAAAGATGTGAGACAGAAAAATACTGCAGGAAATAATATATTGTCAGGACTTACTTTAGTATTCACTTTTATGAGTATTGAAGTCGCATTATTTGTGTTGATATGAGAAACTCCTAGTGGGAGGTTTTCTTCTACATTATGAGTAAACATGTCATCAAACTTATAGTAGACAGTGTTGTCTTTCATTTCCTAGACTTCTCAGTTAGCCATGCATAGAACAGAAAGTAGCCTAAACTCTTCTAACCTTTCAGGTTGTGGTCTTTTTTCCTATAATGTGCACATGCTTGTTAGGGCAGTGAGACCATGTATAAATGACTGCATACAGATACATATGTTTTTCAGGTAACAAGTGCACTAATACAGGCAAGTGAAATTTAAGATCTTAAAAAAAAATGCATTTACTCAAACCAGTTCAAGCATAATGCAGGTTAAAAAAAAAAAAAGGGTGGGAAAGAAATAGGCTTTTTAAATGCAAATTGTGAAAAGTAGCTTTACTACTTTCTTCCCTTGCTTCATGCCCACAGTTGGGAAATCAGACCGTGTGGTTCCAAACATGTATATTAAACATGAATATATTTACTAAGCTAGGTTATTCTCATTGCCATCCCCACCCCCATTGTATGTGCGTCTTGTTCTCTGGTCAGATAACCATTATAGTCTCTGAGAACGGGATTATAATCGAACCAGACTGGAGGAATGAAGACCCAGATCCCATAGAAAGTTAGGATCTCTAATGTGTTTGGAAAACAAGCAATACCTGGATTAACATCTTGTGCAAAGTCTTTTTTCTGTCAGAAAATATAGGGACAGAGCATTAGGCGTTTGAGGTACCCCAGTGGCAATAGCAAGATGTTTTTCAGATAAGCTAGGTGTCCAGTTGGCTAGGTAACAATTAGGAAAACCTTGTCATTCCAGAATTTCTGAGCCAGGTGTCTGAAATTGTTTCATAGTTTCCGCTCTACCTGGCCCAGTGGAATAGTGGTGCATCAGAAAAATAAGCCCAGTTTTGACCGATAAACTCCACATGGAGAAAGGACTACGGTGGCATCTGAACTTTTTTAGTGTTAAGATAAAAATGTAGCTGAATTGCATTTGGACGCCATATAAAGAATAAGAAAAAAGAAATTTAAAAAAGCATAGCAAGAAGAAATCACATCATGTCAGTAAGCCTGTTCTGTACGTACATAGAATATGTCTAGATTACCAGGGGAAATAAACTTGGATATTTTCTTTCTGTCTAGTACTGACATAATGCTCTCATCTTTCACATTGTTTCACAGATGTCATTGGCCTGTGTATGCCTGGCTCATTCAAGCCAGCACTTAACCACAATATACCTACTTAACTATACCTACTGTGTATATGAATTATGAAAAGTTCCTTTTTTTTCTTATTTTCTTAACAGTGCTTATCATACAGTCTAGACCATACTTTTCAGATATAAAAACTTGCTTTAAAAGCATGACAGGATTAGTTTATTGGAGGCACTGAGTTATTTGCCTCAAAATCAGTCCTTTATTAAAAAGTTGAGGTTCTAGCTGTACCCCTCTAGTTGCGTCCAGTTCAATACATTTTTTTTGTCAACATCATGTTTAACATTGCTTCTTCTATTTCTTTCTTCCACCTAGAATGTTTTACGGAAGTTGATGCAGATTTCCATGCTAGAATACCAGTGGTGGTGTGCAGAGAAAAACAAAGGTCTCAGTTGTCACTTTGTGTGTTCTAATAGTATATAGCAATGTAAAATATATATATACCAACATCTGAAAAATGACGTTTCTATACTAAATTATTACAGTTCCATGGATCTTGAAACACAAACTAACACTCATGGGCAAGTCATTCCTAGCCTAGAATAAGAGGGTAAGGGTTGTTCTGTCCTCAGCTGTATTTCCCAACCCTTTCCACCATTATGGCTTCCAGCATGTACCCTTACCCTTCTTCCATTTGGGATAACTGCTCAAACAAACTTTCCTTCGATGTAGGTGATGCGGATACCATGTTAAATTATGGGTTACTGTAAGGGCAAGATCAGCTTGCTTGGCCTCACTAGTATTTTGAGAACAAGTGAAAGATTTTTATTTTGCCCATTTAATGCATATCATTTAAGATTCATTAAATATTCTTTCAACAGCTATTACCAGTTATTTGCTGCTACCTCAATTTTTCAGTGTTTGAAAATATTTCTTTTGCTGTAGAATCAGCATAGAAACTGTTTTCTGATGGGTGTGGAATGGGAAGATGTTTTTGATTCATGAATGAAATTAGTACTGTAATTTTTTTTAGTTCAGTGACTTAGTCATTAGAAACAAATACTTAAATTTGAATTGTATTTGAAAACATTTTTACAGAAAATTATAATGCAATAAAACAATCTGATTTTCCATGCTGGTTTAATTTAGAAAAGGTGTCTTTGAGAGGCTGTTAAGTCTTACCTTACAGCCTCCTGCTGAACTGTTTTGTGAGATGTTACCTGACCTGTGCCTGTTCTTACGAAACATCCAGGATCTTTTGTTTCTTTTTGGGTTTTAGTGGCCTTATTTGTAAAGTGAGTGCAGGGAATGAGAATGCTTGTCTGACAACAAACCATTTGGCTGCACTTGGGAAACTGGAACCTACTGTAGTAACTTTAGTGATTGTCTTCAGGTACTGGGCAAAGGTAAGAGTAATTTGTATTCTCCCATTTGTAAATAAATACTGAATGAACATCGATATTATGCACATAAGATTGTTGGCGTGGTTTAGAAAACAGGTGTTGAAACTGTCTTTCAAAAAAGAGTTTGAAAAGGGATTCTAAACTTTTTATAAATTTGAAGTTTTATGTAAATGTCATCTGTGTATTGTATGATTCCACTGAATTTCAAAGTGGAATTTTAAGCTTCAGCCAGTAGCATGCAGAATGTAAGTATCCTGCTCTGGTACCAAATAATTCATGGGAATGTACATGGAATGAAATTTATATGAAATGGAATTACAAGTTTCCCATAAACTTAATCCATCATGGGAAAAAATGATAGGAAAAAGCTGTTTTTTCCATAGGTAGGTAAAAACTTTATTGTGAATTAAAATAAATTCTGTCAAAACTTTGTGTGCTTGCAACTAACATATGATTTAAGAAAAAGAACAGTATTTAAGAACCGCTTTTGGCTTGTACTATATCTATGTAAAATGTTTGCGTATGTGCTGTATGCTGTCTGTTTTGCCAGTCTGCATCCTGTGGCTCTTGAAAAGAAAATACTGTGGCAATAACAAGACACCAGTAAATACTCAGGCCTTGAGAACAAAGTCCATCTCAGTAGAGCTTAAAGATGTCTGAGTTTCTGTTGGTATTTAACGTGGCAGACTTCTGAACAGTTAATGAAAAGAGTATTTTTTCATAGTATCACTTGAAACCTTAATGACTGCACAATTTATTTTCACAGTTGTGCTGTGTTGATCGTCCTGAAGAGGGAGGCTTGTCACCATATGTGTTTGCTTTGATGGTTATTTTCTTTTTACAACAGAGGAAACAGCCTTTTCTGCCTGTGTATTTGGGATCATGGGTATGTGTATTAATACACTGAATAGTATGAGTGTGAGGACAAATCACTTGTGATGTTTTATTGTAACCTGTCAGGTTTTTGCTGTTCTGAACAAGCCATAAGTGAGCCAGTTCTGCAGGATTTCAGAAAGATGTTAATTCAGCCAGACTGCACATAACATTTGTGTGCTTGCCTGTAAGGATGCAGTTCACAATCCTAGTTGCTGAACTAAGTGCTTGGTTGCCCTTTTAGTAAATAAGGAGAGCTGGGCACTGAATGCGTTTCATAACAGTCTGCTTCCTCATTTCTTCAGCCTTTCTTCCAGACTCTTGAGAACTTTGAATTTACATAGCTACATCCCAAAACAGTGTCTTTTGACACTTAATTCTTCAAAATGTAGACCACAGCTGGGGAGCACACTGGTATGACACCTGCCCAAGGGATCAGACTAGGGGTTTAGAGCATGTATTGCTTGGGTGTAGAAGCTGAAGTGCATCTTAGTATCGAGAGTTGTGTTATGGACACAAATCCAGAATCCAGTTCACCAGGACATGGTCCAAGTATTATATTCATGACATCCACTTTTGTTCTTGTAGTCACCTGCTGTATTCAGTGTGCATGTTACAATTACATGGGCCTTGTAGTTAACGTTTTCCTTCAGTACATGGCTGGCTCATTCCCAAAGCCTCTCCACACTCTGCAGTGAAGGAGAAATGTCACGCAGTATATGTTCATATAATTAAAAAATGGATATTCATGCTTGTGTAACATGCAAATGCAAGTTTCTATGACACATGGATACCCTTCCAAAAGCACTGAACTTTTGAGAGCCTTTTGTATAGGGAGAAGAGAGAAGCAGGTTGGCACATACTACAGGCTACTTTTAAACTTTGTTCTGTTTTAGTTTGTCATACTACCATGGGGAGATAAGATTTAAAGTTCATGTAATGTTTAGTATGTTTCGTTTTGTGTTTCCTTTAGATTGGAGGATTCTCATTAAACAAATTAACTAATTTTCATCTGAAAGAAGTTGAAAATGATGCGGTAGTTTGGGAACATAATCCCGCTGATGATTCTGATTTGCTACAAGGAACTTCCCCTAGAAGGGGCAAGGTCTGAACTATTTAATTTGCTTATGTTGTCAAAAAAAGAACCATCTTCTAGTTAGTTTTATGTTTACGTTGCAAAACCATGAGCTGAACTAAGAGATTGCATGACTGCTTGATACAAGGTTTACTATGCTTAACTCTTGGTGCTAGAGTTTATAGAGTTATGGCAATTTTGTCTCAGAATTAGTTTAAGCATATGAAAAATATTTCCTGTTAGCTTTGAACTGTTCTTACAAATTATAACAACTTTGAAAGAAACAACATCACTGTATTATTTCATGTTATGATAGTTAACTATACAGTTTAGGCTTTGGTAAAAAATAGGCTGTATAATCCATTCTGTCTAATTAGATTGGATGTGGTATTTCCTTGGAAATTTATGAATTATGGCATAAACAAATAAGCAATTGTTATTAATTATTGCTATTAATAACCGTTTGTTATTCATAGCCATTTGCTATTCATAGCCATTGTTGCAGTCTTTCGTTTTGAAGTTTTATAATGTGAGTTTTTACTATCTCATTTTTTTAATTGCAGGGTTTTTTGCAGTTGCAGAAATATAGAAGTAACTATGAGTTTTGTAATATTACATTACAGCTGAAATACAAGGAAGTGTAACAACCAAACACCTGTGCATTAAATATTATTTAAGTTTTCTTCTATAATTTACAGGTTCCCTTAGTATTTGATTCAGGACAGCAGTGTTCAGCACCTGCTGGTCAGCTCTGGCTAGAACTGCTTCGTTTCTATGCCTTGGAGTTCAATATGGCTGATTTTGTTATTAGCATACGACTCAAAGAAGCAGTGTCTCGTGAATCAAGGGACTGGCCTAAAAAGCGCATTGCTGTAGAAGGTATATATATATGTGTATATATATATCTCATAAAACTCCAAGAACTGTTATTTTAATTTTCTAGGGTACTGTCTTGACTGTTGACACTGTGGGTAATAGGTTAAAATTTTTCAATATTGGACTGTGCTTCCCAGTATTATAGGAGAATATTGTTTTGGGGAAAAAAATCCATTTAATATTTCTCTTGGGGTTTTTTTTTCAACATTATCAAATGTAATTAAGTGGACTTAAAAATTGCCTGCAGCACAATTCATAGATCTTATGTCCTTACACGGTGTTTTAGGGTAACTAATGTTAGTATATTCAAATTTTATAAGGATGTAAGTTTATTCTTTTTTTAGAAAGTTGACTCTTGCACTGCTGGCTCACTTCTTCTTTCTATTAGACCCGTATTCAGTCAAAAGGAATGTGGCAAGAACTCTGAACAGTCAGCTAGTGTATGAGTATATTCTTCACTGCCTGAGAGCAACTTACAAGTATTTTGCCTTGCCTCAGAAAAAAAGTGCAAAATCAAGCAAAAAGTCCATTCTAAATGCCCATGAAGAGAAATCCCAAATGCTGCACCGTGGAAAAGATGCTATAAAGCATCAAAATGCTGATTTGCAAAACTTGGATAGTAGAACAAGCACACCAGTAGTGGAAGACTGCATAATAGCGACTACAGATATGCCCCAGACACATAGAACTGATGCTTCAAAACTTTGTGATGGCTCAGGAAGTATCACAGAAGAAGAACTAGCTGATGATATAAATCATTTGGGAATTGCCTATGAAGATTCAGACTGTATAGTTGAGGAATTTATTTCTGGAAATAATGAGGATTTTAAACCAAGTTGTGAGAAGACAGACAGTGGAAATGAAGAGGAGGAAGAGGAAGAACATCAACAAAAAAGGTGGAATAGTATCTTGACTACTGAGCGAGAAATAGATGAAGATAGTGATAGTGGAGATCCCCCTGTTACACTAAATGAACATGATATAGAGACATGTGGTACTTCAGACTTAGAAGGTTTTCAAAATGCTGCATTTGCAGATATTGATGAGTTTGCCTTAGAGTGCAGCGATATAATGGAAGACAAGATAGATGTTGATGAAGAGAGCACTGAAGGTTCTGATGAACTGCATGAATCCTTGAAGAAATTCACATATTTAGCATGGAGTCAAATATCCCAAATGATTGACTCGGATGATGAGGAGGAAGAGGAGGAAGAATCTGGTCTTCTAAACCAGAGAGAGTGTGGTATTACAAGAGCTGGAGATGAACAAGATAATGCATACTTTGGATCTGGCAATGACGATGCACTGTCAGAGGAAGAAGAAGATGATTTTTCCCTCCCCAATAAATGTGAGAACAAACACACTGAAGAACATGCGGATGGACTTCTGAGAAGCAATTTGAGTCAAGAGGATCTTACTGAGAAGGGAAGCCTTTTTGAAGAGAACACAGCAATAGAACAGGGTTTAGAATATGAACTTTTTTATGAATTCAGTAAAACAGCTTTTACAAAGGGCAAGGTAAGGAAACTGAATCAGAACATACTGCTTGTGTTCTATTATCAGTTATATTAAAGTATTGCTCAAATTCAGTGAAGTAAAACCAGTCTCACTTTCTGTTCATGTAGTCTCCTACAGTTGTATGTAGCCTGTGCAAACGGGAAGGTCATTTAAAGAGGGATTGTCCAGAAGACTTGAAGAAAATTGAGCTTGACCTCCTGCCAGAACTGACACCCAAATTCTCAGTTATTCTAGATCAAGTTTGTGTCCAATGTTACCGTAAGTTTTTTCCTATAAATATTGTGCGGTAGCAATAGTGCAAAAAATAATGACATAATCATGCTAATGGTGTTGTAAAAGGAGACAGTTTATTGGCCACACTGCATCCAACTCTTAAATACTATTCTCAGATTTGTAAGGGCTTTAATGGGACTGGTGAGTAGTTCGTATCTAGAGAATAGTAATTTGTATTTAGATGTTTATCATTATCTACAAAATGTTTAGGTTTATCTTCCCCACTGTGGCTGTCTTGATTACTCATTTAAACATCTTGGGAAGTGTATTGAGTTTAATTTTGGGTGAGGTTTTTGACTGATGCTTTTACAGGTCTATCTGAATTAACTGTTCCTTAACTTGTGGTTCTTAGTAAGCAATGACTTCAGTGTTCTAGAAAAAAATGAGTCAAAATACTGTTTTATAACAATTCTCCACTTTTGTTCTTTTCAGAGTGACCCAGCTTTCCTCCTTTCACCATTTCTGACCAGACAAAATGTGTTACTTGTCTAATTAATGTTTTTCTTTGAACAGGTATTTTTCTTCTACTTCATCCTTGCTTGCTTTCCTTCACACGTGAATCTTCTCTTGCTTTTTCTTTCCCCCCTACCTTGCTGAAAACTCCTCACTTTTTTTCATTTGAATCTTTGCTTTTGACTCTCTACAGATCAGTTTGCCTAATTTTTTTTTTTTTTTTTTTTAAGGTGATTTTTCTCCAAGTATTTTGGAGGATCAGGCTCGGGAACATATAAGACAAAACTTGGAAAACTTCATTAGACATGATTTCCCAGGTAATTAGTCAGTTTTAGCTTGTTATTTATACTTTGGTGTGCCTGTACTTGCGTGTTTTCCAAGAAAACATCAACATAATAAGCATTTCAGGTTTGAACACTCAACCTATACTGTTGCTCAGCATTGCTATAATTAATTACATTAATTTATGTTTTTTAAGGCTTTGGTTTAAGTTGTTTTCTCGCTTAGTCATATATACAACACATTAGTAGGAAGGAGCAATGACAAGTTAAGGAGAAAACTATCAACACAGTAGTGGAACAGCCTGTAATTATTTTAGCTATATTCATTAGCCAGACTTCTTCTTGTTCTGTTTGCTCTTAAAAACAACAAGCTTTTTGTAATCATTCCTACTGAAACTTACTCATTTTGGAATATTTTAAAATACAGGTACTGTATTTGCAGTACCTAGCTATTTGAATTTTTTTGTTTTGCTTTGTTTCTGGAGTCCTTACCAGTGTTTGTATAACACCCAGACTTTGGTTCATAGTCTTTTAAAATTAGCAACAGATATTTTTGGCTGGAGCTTGGTATGTGGTCAGATATATCCTTTACCCTAAAAATCTCTGTAGAGAACAGTCTTACTTTTTTTTTTTTCAATCAGATATCAGCTGGTTGCCACATGCTGATGATTTCATTATTGGAAAACCTGACTTGTTTCTGGATTTGTCAGACTGCTCATTTGAACCAATGAAAGTAGAGATATTTTCCACATCAGCGAAGTTAATGAGAGAATAAGTTTTGATGTATCACAGATAGTAATGTTTTTATGCCTGTATTAAAAGACATGCAGTGGATTGAAATTACATACAACTTGAGATTCTGTGTCAATATGGGGTTATAACCCATCATATCTCTTACAGGAACCAAGCTGAATTTGTTTGGCTCATCAAAAAATGGCTTTGGCTTCAAAGAAAGTGACCTTGATATCTGTATGACAATTGATGGGCTGGAAACTGCTGAGGTAGTTTAAAAAGTGGCTTGGGTTTGGGGATTTTTTGGTTTGTTTGTTTGTTTTATTTTAAAACATGCAAAATTTTATGGGTATATTGTGTGTATATATCGTGTAACAAAGTTATTATTTTATAGAAGCTTCTCAGATTGGAAGAAAGCACAAATTAGTGCCCCAAAGATTATTTTAGGGGGTTTTGCTGTTGGTCTAGGCAAAATATAAACTTTAAAAGCTTGTTAAGATACTGTATATTGTTGATTTTGCAGGTGCTATTCTGAAACTATTTCTGGTCTTCAGATAATTGTTTATAATATGAAACTCTGTTTTACAGCTTTAATCTTAATGGCAAGTAATAAAAGTTTTTCCTAAATGTAGCAGATACAACCATGAACTTTTTTTCTTAATGTTTTAGGGACTTGATTGCATCAGAATCATTGAAGATTTAGCAAAAGTTCTCAAGAAACAGTCAGGTAACTTTCTTGAAAATTAAAATAAGTGGTTCTGTTTATGTGACTTCAGTTGCTGTAGTGACAACATTCTGGGGCACTATAGATTAAAATCAAGATAAAACTATACTGAAGAGTGTAACGTTATAACGAGTGAGGTTATATGTTGTGAACACTCAAATTTATTTTTTTTTGCATATGTAAGTCTATGAGGTTATAATCTTATAGGACTGCATCTGAACTGGACATGCAGTGTATTTATAACCTACATGCATAAGGATAAAGCTTCAGGCTTTATAACCTACATTCTTAGTGCACAGTAAGTTAATAGTAAAAGGTAGGCTGATACAAGTTTGCAATGAGGATTCTGTTTTTTTCTAGAAGAAATTACAATTTATAGTGCTTGTTTTAGTGTATTTCACATGAATTTAATGTAATTGAAGTGAACTATCAGTGATCTCTTAAGCTTATTTTTCTATAACATTTAGATTGATCTTTGTTTTATTGGGGAGCTAAATGTATATTTGTATATATTTAGCAAGTTAGTCATGTTTGACAAATGCCTAAATCAACATTAAAATATAACTGAATACAGTTTTGGTACCAACTAAGATTTTATTTTGTAGCCTTTTTACTACAGTTTGGAGTTACTTGTATTGCAGTCATTCAGTAATTAAACATTTCATTCTAGGTTTAAGAAGTGTCTTGCCTATAACAACTGCTAAAGTCCCAATTGTCAAATTTTTCCATGTCAGAAGTGGTCTTGAAGTAGACATCAGTTTATATAATACTCTGGTAAGATTATTGCCGTTTTAGTTTATTTTCTAACAGAAAAGTGTGGGTCGTCATCTTAAGATTGAAGTGACTGTTCCGTTGAGGTTCAATTATCAACTGTTTCCAGTTACACTTTTAGATATTCAAACAACTTTTGCACTTTTAGATATTCAAACAACCTTTTATTTTTTTATTTGATCATGAGTGGAGTCAGTGCACAATTGCATCTTTACAGTTGCCACTTCCCTAAGAAAATATATTCATTCTTCAGTAATAGCAGGAACTAGTGCTTTAGGTGTAAATGAGAGACAAAATAATATAACTTCAGTGTTCTAACGCTCCAGTTCTCATCATGGCTCACTCTTGCTTTGCCCTGAGACCTGGAATAATGATTTTGAACCTAGCTTGCCTGAACTGGAACATGTTAGAATTTATTAAAAGCCACAAGTTCTTTGGGAAAATACTATAAAAACTAGTTTTGGGTGGAGAGTGTTTTTGGGGGGTTTGTTTCTTTTTTCAGTACCTCTGAACTTCAAAAGCCAGTTCCTTGAAATATTATAGGAAAGTAAGATTTAGAGCCCAGTATTAAACTTTTATATGGGCTCAAGGGAAGTCTTGAGAATGATACCTCAACCACAGAGTTTTCTTCTTGAAGTTATGCATCCATATGGGTCAGTTGATTAGCTTTCACTTTTCTGGGCTGAAATTGTTTACTTCAAGAGCCTACCTTCTACCAAACACTTTGAAAATGAAGTGGTAGATTAATGCTTCCCATTCTGAAGCACTGTTCTGTGAATACTGCTTTGTGTGCAGATAAAGTATGTTGATCAACTTTTTAAGAGAGCAGGTCATAACGTCGAGTGCTCCCTTTCTCAATATACATTCTACTATGCAGGGCTTCGCATGTGCATTTCTTGAGCACACAACTTAGAGTTCTTGGGTTTTGTGTTTCAGCTTACTACTTAATTTCTTCACAGCTCTTGTATTTTGTGCATGACCTTCTTCTCTTTATAGGCCTTGCATAACACAAGACTCCTGTCATCATATGCAGCCATTGATCCGAGAGTAAAGTATCTATGTTACACAATGAAAGTCTTTACAAAAGTAAGTATATCTCAGACATTCTAGAAGCAGTAGTTCCTGCAGCAAGAGATTATAACAATGAAAGATACAAATGGTGTTTCTTTTTCTAGATATGTGACATTGGAGATGCATCTCGAGGTAGCCTTTCTTCCTATGCGTATACTCTTATGGTGCTTTATTTTCTTCAACAGAGAAATCCACCTGTCATCCCCGTTCTTCAAGAGGTACAGTATCTCAAGAAAGAAATCACTACCTGTACACAGTATTGACCAGAAGAATGTTAATGCTGAACCTGTAGGGCTCTTCTAATGAGTTTAATGTTATGCTTTCAGATCTACAAAGAACCAAAGAAGCCTGAAATTTTAGTTGATGGCTGGAATGTTTATTTCTTTGATAAGATAGACGAGTTGGTGAGTAAATCAGGTTAATTTGCAAATGAAAAAGAATTCCTTTTAAGAAATACAGTCCTCAGATGTGGTGGTTGAATATAGAAATGGAAGTGGAGTAGCTACTGCTTTGAAAATCCCAATACCAAGCTGTAAATCTTTAAGAATATGGTTGGTTGTAATTCATCTGGGGGGGAATCTATGGAATCGCAAAAAATAATTAAAAAAAAAGTATTTTAAGATGCTAATGATGATTCATTACTGTGTGCATCACACTACTGGGTGAAGATAATTCCTACAAATAACAGCTGCATATTTAGTCATAACTGCTTAATCTCATTGAATAATTTTATGTTAAATAGGCACATAAAATGCATTAATAAATTCTTTCTATAACAGGCAAGACCTAGTATCAGAAGTTATATTAATTCTCCACTTTTGTTGTTACTTTTAAAAAATGTACCATTTAAAAATTGATATTGGATTATTAATACCAATTATGAAAGTAAGTACTCTGCTGTAACTCAGTTGTATTTCTTTATAAAATAAGACTTGCATTGTTTGAGCTTCCAAGTTATGAAAATTATTCTGCTTAATGTAAGTACTGGAAGTAAAAATATTTTTGTATTTTCAGTCAGTCGTTTGGCCAGACTATGGCAAAAACACTGAATCTGTTGGGCAACTGTGGCTGGGGCTTCTCCGTTTCTACACAGAAGAATTTGATTTTAAAGAACATGTTATCTGCATTCGGAGTAAAAATCTGCTTACAACCTTCAAAAAGCAGTGGACCTCCAAATACATTGTAATTGAAGGTAAAAATATGAAGTACATGAATATGTGGCGTTTCTTTAATGCCCACGTGAAAAATTTTCTCCACAAGCCTTAATTATTTTTGTATTACTAGATTATAATTTGTTATTTGCTGATGTTTAGAAATCATTGCAAAATTTCCATTGAGTTTCACTAGTGATAAAAATTACTCTTAGGATTTTTTTTTTTCCCTACTGAAAAGAACATGCAAAGCAGACATGATACTTTTCATGATGACAGCAACTGAAAGAGAAACAGATTAAACCAAATCCTTTGGAAAAGAAATTACCTGTATTGTAGTTGAGGTTTTCTCTCAAATACCAAGTTTAGCTGAGTCCATATTTACACGAGGAATTTAAAAGTATGTTTTATTACACTGTTAAGTAATACCATGGTCTCTTATCAAGAAAATACAGTGACTCATTTTAGAAATGTTCCCTAAACAACTTTCTGGCCTCTATGACTTTCATGGAAAGAATTTTTACTCTCTTCCCTGCACATTCAACTCTCAGAATAACTTTTACCATACTTCAGTCAGTTTGGAGCTAGGTGACTGTGATCCCTTTGTCCATGGGGTTAATTTAGTTTCAGCAAATTTACAAACAGTTCAATTTCAGTTCTTAATTCTACATTGGAAATAGCTGCCTTGGGCTGTTAATGTGTATGTATATGTTGTTGGTCTAGGCCTGGACTTAATTAATGCCTGTAATGCTTTTTGTACAGACCCCTTTGATTTGAACCACAATCTTGGAGCTGGACTGTCAAGAAAAAGTAAGTCTCCTGTTAACAAATTTTTTTTATAGAGTGAAGATCTTGTCTTAGATCATACTTTACTGGTTTGTTTGATGTTTTCCTGGTTTGTTTTGCTTTGTTTTCTTCATAGTGACAAATTTTATAATGAAGGCTTTTATCAATGGCAGAAGGTTATTTGGTACCCCTATAAAAGTGTTTCCTAAAGAATATCCATCAAAAATGGTAAGTTGCTTCTAAGATCAGTAGGTGCATGCTCTTGAGTGTATAATTTAGCAATTGCAGGAGTAATGTTACACTCTCTTTAAGCTCTTCTCTCTTAAATTTTAACTGTCCACTAAAAATCTTTATGGGAGTTACTACTCAGTACTGGTTTTGTGTTGTTTGCATGTAAAATGTGTTGGCATGCAGAATACTAATCAAGTCAAAGGTTTGTTGTAGAGGCTTACATATTTTAATCCCTATCAAAACCAGCTTACAGTTTCTTAAAACTGCAAGTTTTAAAAGAGAGCTTGCAGACCTAGTGGTCAGCAGGCTGCCTGTAAACAAAAGAGGACAGCAGTCAGTTCAGCTCACTGGATCTTTGAGGAATTCAGCTACACACACCACACTTACTCTTCTCTGTAATTTTCTGCTGGTTTAGCACTTGCCTATCTGTTTTGATTCCTAGGTGTATGGATTTTCATTTAAAATGTGTTATTTCTTCCTTAGGAGTACTTTTTTGATCCTGAGGTTCTAACAGAAGGAGAACTGGCACCAAATGATAGATGCTGCAGAACCTGTGGTAAAATTGGCCATTTCATGAGAGATTGTCCCATGAGGAGAAAGTGAGTATAGTTTTGGCATGTGTGTGGAAGTTTTTGTTGGGTTTGTTTAGAAGAAAGATTACGGTTGTATCTATAAAATATTGAAAATCGGCAAATAAAGCTTCAAGAGTATGAAATCTTGAAAGCCTTTGTGCTCAGTTGTAAGTTGAATGGAAACATCTACCCTTTGCTTAGGGTCTGTTTATGTTAACAGTTGTATTTGAAAATAACCTGCAATCTTATGTAAGTGGGTAAAAAGCTACTTATATTGGATCAGATGAAATCATCTTTTTGCTGCACAATAGAGAATTGTGAACTTATATTTTGAGACTGTTATTTTGGGAATTTATTCAACTTCAGCTAATGCAAGTACAGTAGTTGATGGTAATTTTAAAATAAAGAATGCTGGAGGTGGTGGTATAAAAACCTACTCAATGTCTAAACTTCTGTATCAGATGCAGTGGATTTTTAATCTTGCATTCTGGAGTGAAACCCCAGTTCATTGTACACAAGCAGCTATGCCCTATGCAAAATCAGGTAGAATATTAGAAGCTTCTCCCAGTAGAAGAGACTTTTAGAGATACTGTAAAAATACACAGTTTGAGAAGGGAGTTCTGAGTGAATTGTACAAGTAGACAAAAAAACCCCAACAACCTGTAATCCTGTCTTTTTCACACAGATTTTCTGTTGTGTTCGTATTTTTTGAGATATTTTAGAATTTAGGGCTGTATTGTAATATAATTGTAAAGTTAGATTATTAAATACATTTTACATCAGTGTAGCATTATTCAGTAAAACGGTCAAAGGGACAAGTGCATTAATTCACTTTATTTAACCCACTCAAGAAATACATGAAATATGTCTTTTATCTGTTGACAGCACTTGATTTGTTGGATATTGGGGTTTTTTCTCCATGTATATATGTAAGCCTTATGAACTCTACAGCATTTTTCTGCTCCTGCAGACTAAGACGGCGGCGTGGTTATGAAGATACAAAAAACCAGAGGTACACAGAAAGCAAGGAGAAAAGAAGCAATGAGGACAAAGAAACTCAGATTAAAACAACAGAAAAGGAGAGCTCAATCAAGGAGGGAAAGTTGCATGTCTGTACACCTCAGAAGAGGAAACTAGGAAGGGCAGTAGTGGAAATTGGAAGAGAAAAGACTCCAAGGCAATCAGCAGAGAAGTGGAAGCACCTGGAAGATAGAGACTTAAGAGAAAAACGGTGTTTTATCTGTGGAAGAGAAGGTCATATTAAAAAGGAATGCCCACAGTTTAAAGGAGCTGCAGGTATGAAACTAGATCAAGCTGAGCAGTCTAAACAGAGCTTATGGTTTTTGATATTTTTGGTTGGCTGACACATAAGGGTTTTGCTTTGAATGGCATTACATAAATGCTAACTTTTTTTTTTTTTAAATGTACTTACATTAGCTAGTTTTCTCCCTCATCTGCCTTTCAGAACTTTGCCATATCCCAATAGATTTAACATAGTTCCTCATAGCAGGTAAGGTGCTTGCAGTATAAAAGATACGAATGTCTAATATGTTGACATTGCTTCCATTGTCCTCACTGTGTAAGAGTTTGCTGACATTTCAAATTACAGCTTCTCTTTCAGTACATCATAATTGCAACAAAAGCTCACCTTATAACTCTTCACATCACCTAAACCAGAATTATTCTGTAGACCGTGAAATCACACAAGATAGAATATTGTGAATGAAATAATGTTCCTGCCAACTCAGCAGTAGGAGGGATACAGCAATCTGTCTTATTTTTCATAGAGTCAGTTTGCAACTTTGACTTTAAAAACTAAAAAATATAACTACAAAAATGCCCCGAAATACAGATCCTGACAGATCTGAACAAAGTAACTAAATACTTGCTTAGCAACATCTAAATCATCCTTCAGATAATACAGATCTCATATCATCTGTGTTGTAAAGAATATCTGTCGTGGTTTAAACCCAGTCAGGTAATTCGTTCGCTCACTTCCCCCCCTTTTCTTGCCCTCCCCCTGCTCTCGGAGGGACGGAGAGGAAAATCGAAAAGAATGCAACTCCCACAGGTTGAGATAAGAACAGTTTAGTAACTAAGGTATAACACAGATCACTACTGCTACCACCAATGATAATAATGATAAAGGAAATAACAAGGGAAGAGAATACATCATCTCACCACCAGCCGACCGATAACTCGCCCCCCCCAGCCCGACCAAGCTCTCACCGATACCTCCTCCAACCCTGCAGTCTCCCAGCCCTTCCGGCTAACTCCCAGTTACATCCTGGGCATGACGTGCTGTGGTATGGAATACCTCTTTGGTCAGTTTGGGTCAGGTGTCCTGTCTCTGCTTCCTCCTGGCTTCCCCTCCTCCCTGGCAGAGCATGAGGCTCACAAAGTCCTTGGCCAAACCAAAACATCCCTGTTATCAGCTCTGTTCCCGAGCTGAAAGTCAAAACACTGCACTACACCAGCTACCAAGAAGGGGAAAAAATGACTGCTACTGCTGAACCCAGGACATTATCCACCCCTTATTCCATACCATTCACGTCATGCTCACGTCCCACATTTTTCAATATACCATCACTCTTATCTAAGTGCATGGACCAGTCCCTATAAAGCTGCTGCGTCCATCTGGTCCATGATGCCAGGCTCCATCTCTTGTAACAGTCTTTCAGAGCAGGAGAGACTGTGTGCAGTGTTCACACTCGTGAATAACCTGGGCAATAGTGTCCATTGCTAAGTCCACCCCTCGATCATGAGTCCATATCTATGTTGCATCTTTGCTCTGATGGCCTGAAGTGCCATGGGCCCACCAGGCTTAAAATAATTCACTGTCCCCTTAAGCAGTTTCTGCAGCTTGTTGCTGGGGACTCCATACAGCTGCCTTCCATCTCCGACGCTTCCAAAGCACTGGAGGGGCCCAGTGGACTACATAGTTGCCCATACTGTCCCACACGCCCTGCCACTCATGGCTGTCCAGCCTTGGGGAAAATCTCTTGCTCCCCATATCGTCGTCTAACCCCAGACAAGACCCAAACCTGACTCTGCTTAACTTTTGAGATCAGACAAAATGGTTGTGGGTAGAACACAGTCTGTGTGTGTGCCAACATGCTGATCCCCATCACAATCAGCAGGCAGGTCCCAAGGGTACCCAGAGGCCATTCAAAACCTTCAGAACTCTCAGTTGATGCTGCTGTACTTGTCACTGGGGCTGGTGTAGCTGCTGTGCTTGTCACTGGGGCTGGTGTAGCTGCTGTGCTTGTCACTGGGGCTGGTGTAGCTGCTGTGCTTGCCGGCTCTCCCACCGCCACCTTCTCTTTTCCTGAGTCCAGCTCTTCCCCCTCTGCCTTGCTGGGAAATGCTGCGTGGTCTCCGGCATCCTCCTGGGGCTCGGCGGGTGGCTTCCGGGGAATGCTGTCGGCCGCCGCGGGGCTGGGCTCGGCCGCGGGGCTCGGCTCCTCCGCCGCCTTCTCCCGCTGCTCGGCAGCCGCCTCCTTCCTCTCCTCGACCGCCCCGACCTCCTCCACCCGCAGCCGTCCCCTCGCGGCCTCCGGCCCCGCTCCCGCCGCTGCTTGGTCCCCGGGGCCGCTCTCCCGGGCCGGTTCGGCTGCCGCCGGCTCCCGGGGCCGCTCCCCCTCGGCTCCCCGCAGCCTCACGAAGATGGAGAGTAGGGTGAGGGCCAGGGCGGTGAAGAGCAGCCGGACGGCCAGGTACAAGTCCACGGCCACGTCCATCCCGCCCTGCTGCTGGAGCCCACCCGTATTACAAGCCATTGCCATAAAGCACAGTGAGACAAGAACCTTAGCCCAGGCCCCACACTTGATAAACACTATCACAGCAAATACCGGCTCTACGTAAGTTACAACATTCTGAAGCTGTGAGATCAACAAGAACAACTCTGAGAGCCAATAAATCAGCATTGTGACGAATGACTATTAATTCGGTCAGATCTGTTGTTATCTCAACCCTTCGTGCCCCACGTTGGGTGCCAAAAAGAACTGTCGTGGTTTAAACCCAGTCAGGTAATTCGTTCGCTCACTTCCCCCCCTTTTCTTGCCCTCCCCCTGCTCTCGGAGGGACGGAGAGGAAAATCGAAAAGAATGCAACTCCCACAGGTTGAGATAAGAACAGTTTAGTAACTAAGGTATAACACAAATCACTACTGCTACCACCAATAATAACAATGATAAAGGAAATAACAAGGGAAGAGAATACATCATCTCACCACCAGCCGACCGATAACTCGCCCCCCCCAGCCCGACCAAGCTCTCACCGATACCTCCTCCAACCCTGCAGTCTCCCAGCCCTTCCGGCTAACTCCCAGTTACATCCTGGGCATGACGTGCTGTGGTATGGAATACCTCTTTGGTCAGTTTGGGTCAGGTGTCCTGTCTCTGCTTCCTCCTGGCTCCACCTCCTCCCTGGCAGAGCATGAGGCTCACAAAGTCCTTGGCCAAACCAAAACATCCCTGTTATCAGCTCTGTTCCCGAGCTGAAAGTCAAAACACTGCACTACACCAGCTACCAAGAAGGGGAAAAAATGACTGCTACTGCTGAACCCAGGACAATATCATTCTAAGATAAACTGAGACTCCTTAAGGCAGTGAATGGTATTTCTAGTTAGCTTCCAAAGAAAGGTAGTATTATTATTTCCCTGTAGGTAAACCTAGGAATATTTAAATTTATGCTGGATTAATTTGTTTATAATACGATGAATTACAGATTAGTCATGACTTGACCTCTGAAAGTAACAAACAGGAATCCTTTGTATAAACATAGTTTCAAACCTGTACTAGCAACAATGTTCTGTCTTGCTTAGATCAGGAGACTTTTCTTAATCAGATGTAATTGGTGCAAGAGAGCATAAGACTGTGCTAACAAAGTACTGTAAGTAGGAGGAAAATGGTGCCAATATACTTAGAAGTGTTCACAGTTTGATAGGTCACTAGAAGTGTTGGCTGGACAGAAAAGGTGCTTAAAAATTGATGCCATGTTTTATACAGCTTTTGACCTTTTGAAGCTGTATGTCAAGTCTAAATTTAACTTCTGAGTGTCTTTATCTTTGACCTTGTCTTGTTGAGCTTTTCTTTCTACCATTCCATTTTCCATGATGCTAAATTTGCTAAGGTGAAGGGGCATGTGCCTTACTGTTTTGTAGTTAGTGACATGGTTGTATCTCATAACATCATATGAGAACTATGCTAAGGCTGTACGGTACATAAGTCTAAGCTCACGAATTACGGAGTAGGTGGATTTTGTCTGTTATCTGTATTTTGCAAATTACTATACTTGAGTTTGAAGAAAATTGCTGTAGGTTGGGCTTTGTCTTTTTTTTGTGTGCTTTGTGCCCAGAGTATTCTCTCTGTTTGAATAGAGCACTATGAACAAGTAGACCTAAGAGATTATTTTTTTTTGCTGTGTTCCATTTTGTAAGACTATGGACAATTCAATTACCTGTTCAATTATCTTTGTTCATTTTCTAAGTTCCCTGTGTCCCTCTGCTTGTGGAGGAGGGTACAGAGCTTAATTTATTGTAGGTTCCTAACTTAGATACATAACTATATATGCATCTGGTTGAAGCCCAGCCCATAACTCAGCATCATGCAGCTGCTTGATCCTCCCTCTTTATTCCCCCCTACCCTGAGCAGGATGGGGTGGAGAATCAAAAGAATGTAAACCCCATGGGTTGAGATAAAAACAGTTGGTAACTAAAGTATAAAACAATACTACTACTACCACCACTAATAATAAAACAACTACTACTACCACTAATAATACGGGAAATAACAAAGAGAATATAAAACTAAAAAGAAGAAGGAAAAAAAAACCAATAAACACAAGTGATGCACAATACAATTGCTCGCCATCTGACTACAGATACCCAGTCTGACCTGAGCAGTGATCTGGGCCTTCTAGGTGACTCCCCCCACTTTATATACTGGGCGTGACATCCTGTGGTATGGAATACACCTTTGGGTAGTTTGGGTCAGTGTCCTGTCTCTGCTCCCTCCCAGCTTCTTGTGCCCCTGCTCACTGGCAGAGCATGAGACTGAAAAGTGCCTGATCAGTGTAAGTATTACTGAGCAACAACTAAAACCATCAGTGTGTTATCAGCCTTGTTCTTAGTCCAAAGCCAAAACACAGCACTGCACCAGCTACTAGGAAGGAGAAAAATAACTGTTACAGCTGAACCCAGGACAGTATCGACCCCTTATTCCATACCATTCACATTATGCTCACATCCCACATTTTTCAATATACCATCGCTTTTTGTTTCTTAAGATATATATATACACACACAAAGAGACAGGTATCATTCCTTAGTCCATGGACCGTCCCTATAAAGCTCACTGAGTTCATTCAGTCCGTGAAGTCAGGCTCCATCTGTCATCACAGTCTTTCAGGGCAGGAGAGAGGCCAATTCCTTCACACATTGGCCCTCTGAGGCAAGCAAAAAAGAGGTGCAATTGTTAACGATTCCCATTACACACCTCCCAAAATATAGAGCTGATGACCATGCTGAGAATGCATACCAGATCAGTTTCATGATTGATGATTCTATTGTATGAGAAGCCATTACCATAAAGTACAATGAAACAAGAACTTTAGCCCAGACCCAAAGCCAATAAATGCTAAAACAGCAAATGCTGGCTGCAAGTAAGGTGTTATATGCTGGCACTCTGAGATCAACTCCAACACCAAATAAATCAACACTACAAGGAGTGACTATTAATCTGAAAGAATGAATGTTTATCACAAATATGTTTAGACACACTCTGGTCAGGTCTATTGTTATCTCAACCCTTTGGGCTCCACGTTGGGTGCCAGAAAGGACTGTCGTGGTTATGCCCAGCTGGTAACTTTGCACCACGCAACCACTCACTCAGTCCCCCGCATTCTTCCCTTCCTCCCTGCTCACTCCCAGCAGGATGGGGAAGAGAATCGAAAGAATGTAAACCCCACAGGCTGAGATAAGAACAGTCCAGTAAATAAAGTATAATACAAAACTACTACTGCTACCACAAGTTATAATAATGATAAGGGAAATAACAAGGGGAGAGAATATAAAACTTGTAAGTGAATTAAAAAAAAACAACCCAAAAAGGACAACTGATGCACAGTACAATTGCTCACCACCTGCTGACCAATACCCAGCCTGACCCAAGCAACAATCTAGCCTTCTGGATAACTCCCCCCAGTTTATATACTGGGCATGATGTGCTGTGGTATGGAATACCCCTTTGGCTAGTTTGGGTCAGGTGTCCTGTCTCTGCTCCCTCCCAGATTCTTGTGCCCCTTTTTACTGGCAGAGCATGAGACTTAAAAGTGCTTGATTGGGGTAAGCATTACTGAGCAACAGCTAAAAACATCCATGTGTACCAGCTTTGTTCTCAGACTAAAGCCAAAACACAGCACTGCACCAGCTACTAGGAAGGAGAAAAATAACTGCTACAGCACCTCATCTCATTGTGCCAGTTTTCCATTTTACAGAAATAAGAAAAATAGCAATATCCTACATTCTACTGTCTATGCAGGTAGATTGTAAATATCATGGTATTTTTGTATCTTAAAATACCCGAAATAGAAACTAGTTTTAAATTAGCAAATCTTTCTTATGACTTTTTCAGTTGTTCCAAAACCAGAAGCATTGTATGGATCCCCTTTGTTACCCAGTGCTTCCAAACATGCTCGTAGATTAAATCAGGTAAACACTAATTGTCCTTTTTCTTTGATCTTTTTCTCTTTAAATGTTCTAAAGTCCATATAAAGTAATTAAAAATAGCTTTACTTAAGCTTTCAATGAGAACCTTTTTTTTTCTTAGCTGTGGAATGACATAATTTTCTTGGGTCATCGATGTGTATCTGTTGTTTACAGGGAGTGCTTATATATGAAGAAAAAAAGAAACAAAAAGGAAAAGTATTTTTGAGTCCCCAGTCAGGTTTGTGTATCTTCATTTCAATTCAGAAATTCTGTGTAAAAGCATGTATCTTCAACTTGCTTTCTCTATCAGTCCTTCTGGGAACTCTGCCTAAATGGCCTAACACAGCAGCAGTCTACTCAAGTTGCTAGGTAATTCTGTGAAGGCACTCTTTTGGTCTTCTTTTTAACTGGAAAAGTGAGCACTTCTTCGGTTTTGTTTTGGAAACAAAATTTAGGCATGTCAGTTCTATGCATTTTATTTGTTCTTTTTCAACTCTCATAGATCTGTTTTGCAGAAGGGTATGGTGGGGTTTTATCAGTCTCTCACCTCTCTACTGTTCTGGCATACGTGGAGTTCTGTGTTTCTTCAGGGACAACATGTGGAGCACTTTAAGGCTTCTTCAGAGTAATTGTCTAGAATTCCATATGATCAACTAACCTGAGAGCTTATCAAAGCACATCTTTTGTCTGAGCTGAAAAAACACAGGGAAGTTAAAATTGCACTTTTAAGTAGCATTCAGATGACAGTATAAAGGCCTTTATGTACTCTCTCTGGAGATGTTTTATCTTAGATGCATGGTTACAGATGCAGCTTCTTTACAGTAATTTCACAAACTTACTAAGGTATAATGAAGATTTTAGAAGTTTTTTTTAATAAAATATATAAATATCTTCTGGGACATCTGAAGGGGGGAACCCACGTAGTCTTTGCAAACTATGGAAAAATAAACTGCAATTAATTATCTCAAATTAAATTCTCAGTTTTGTTGGAAGATAAAGTGTTTTCTGTTTTCAGTGCAAGGCTTTTTCAAATCCAGGTTTGGGGATTTTTAAACACAAAGTGATTGTCATTTGGCTAGGTATTTAGTTGAAAAAATGTTAGTTTTCACTTTTGTATTCTAGTACTTCAGTATTTCATACTGTCTTCCAGCATGTAATGATCTAAAGTTGAACCGTGTGTGCTTTCGTTATAGTTTGACTTAACAATAATTTTCTCCTGATTGTTTCAGTTGTTTACATCTTGTCTGACTTTTTCTTCTTTTTTTCATTAAACTCCCAATCTTAGGCAGCCTTTCCAACAAATACATGACTCAGGGAAAAGCCTCACAGAAGAGGACCCAACAAGAATCATGAGGGATATTAAGCACTGTTAAATTGCAGTGCAGACCCTTCATTCATCTAAAAAATTTTCATTGTCTAAAGCATCTGGACTCGCAGGACAGCAGAACAGACAACCTTCAACTTAATTTTAATGAAATATGGGTGGTTTATTTTAGATTGCTAGTACAAGCAATACTGACCCCTGCTCTGAAATAGGTTGTTGGAGTATTTAAATAGAAAGCCATAATTTTTTTTATTTCTTTTTATTGTAAATCATATAAGAAAGGGCAGGTACTAAAAATGGACTGTTTTCAAGGTTTTGTCGTTTCATCTGATGATTTTAAAATGCACATTTTAAAATTGCGTGCAAGCCAAATACATTATATTCAAAAATTGTTTTTTGAAGCAGCAAATAATATTTATTAATGTTGACTGTATACTGAATCCTTGTTTAAAAGTGTTCTAAATGTTTGTAGACTGCTACATTTTTGGTTTGTTGGGTTGTGGGTTTTTTTTCCCTATGAGAGCTGAAAACATAGAAGTTAGTAAACATACATAAAACAATCTCTGGACAAGCATTGCCATTGAGATTTTTGGGGGGGGGGGGGGTTCTGTTCCATGATTCTTATGGGAGTTCATTAGCTGCTGTGTACAAGAAGAAAAATTAAGAAGCAGGTCAGTCCTGTTTGATGCTGCTAAGAATCTTTTTCAAGCCCTTGAGGATACAGATAAAAATGCTTTAGAGGCATTATATTTGGCAACAGGGGAAAACACATCCATTTTCATAAAATGTGAAGAAGATCCTTATGCTAGCCACAAACTTAATTAGGAGTATGAACTTGAGCTTTACTTGAAGTGCTTCCAGAGCTGGCAACGTACTGTCTTTTCTTGTTCAGGAAAGAATTAGTTACATTGTGAAATTGAAACCACTGTTATTTATGACTTTGAAATAAATTAAAAAAAAAAAAAAAAAATTAAAATCAGACTTAAGTTTCTGTATTTCTTCTTAGGTTGTATTTTTTAGTATTCCTGACTTAAACATAGAATTAATGACAACTTACTAGAATTATGTGAGTTTAGAAATGTCATGTTTCTTTTTTTCCATATTCATCTGTTTTTATTAAAGTTGAAACTAGAATTGACCTAAAGTGGTCTTAGGGAACTGGGACTCTTAACTCCTCTTTTGTTTTTAATGCATCTGTAGCCAGCTATCTGTAAACTTCTAGATGTGCAGCTTTCTCAAATAGTTTTTGTATACTTTTTTCAACATATTTTCAAGCAAAATATTAGCTAGCAAAAAAAACAGAAAATACTTCCAACTGTCATCTTTTGCATATTTCATATGAAATAAAGTCAGTTTTCCCTCAAAAATAAGAAAATTCTTGTAGATTTTAATTCATAATGCCCCAAACAAAAGAAAAAAAACACACACACACAAACAAAACCACAAAACAAAAACAAAACAACAAAAAAAAAACCAAACCAAACAACCACCAAAAAATAACCAGAGCAGACTGACATGATTATGTATGCCTTATTCAGCCCTCTGTTCAGACTTACTTTCAGTTTTGCTGATGGGAATGAAGTATGTAAGCTTCTAAGGGACGATGTCATAATCTCAAGAACAGAAGTTATTTTAAGCGGGAGACAGGAACAAACAGATTTATACATACTTACCCTTTCCATTTGTGATACTTGTAGTTTAGCAATGAAATGTCTACACTCGCATCAGAGTGAAAACTCACTCTGCTTCCACCCATCTTCTCACTTTGAAGCTGCTACAACTACACATTCTCTTTAGCCACTAATCTCATAGCCCTAAAATGGGATATATATTACAAGCATTAAGCCAGTAAGCAATAAATCCTTTGTTTGCTTAAGGAGTAGTAAAAGAGCAGAGCCAAAATTTACAGAATGATATGTGACTCAGAAGAAACATAGTTGAGGAGGCATACATACCTACTACATTAAGTTGTAAAATTCAGGGAATGAATTGAAAGCTAACACTGAAGAAAAGTATGTTCTTCACAACAATTTTTGATATCCAAGCTCGTGTTTGCCTTATGGGAGTATTTCCTCAAGAGAGCAACTTCCCACATACAAAGGAAAACTCGACACACAGCATTAATTAAAAGCTTCTAGAAAAAGAACAGTATTGGAAGTAATAGCAATTAACTAAAATAATAGTTTACAACTAAATTCATCCTAATAAAAAGTAGCAATAAATCCTAATAAATTAAAAGACCTGTTCTGAACTACCTGTATTCTCGGTCCCTGTAATGACATGGGGGAACACTGAGCTGGTTGCACTGCTGCTGTATTTTATTTGTGCTGCTGGGTTTTTATTTAAAAAAAAAAAATTAAAAAATAAAAATTGCTGCTGCCTTATTTCACAGGAATTTCAGACACTGTTTCCAAAGTTGGAAAACTTCCTGTGAGTAGTTAGTTATCAGTGTTGAAAAACAGAGAAGGATTAACATGTCATCTCCCCTAATTTAATTGTTCTGGTGGGATTTGTTTCATAGCTATGAATAAAAAGAGGTTTTCATCCATTCAAAATTTTATGTAAATAAATACCCATTGATTTATAAACCTTATCACATTTTTATAAGAACTGCAGAAGCCACGTAAAAAGTGAAGTTGCTGGTAACCTTTTGGGGCCTGAAACAGTCGCTTAGAATGGGTACTAGCAAAGAAACTATTTTAAAATTTTTCCTATACTGATAAAAGTTATCAAAAAATTTTCTTGTTATTTACTTGAAGTATATAGATTTTAATACTGAATTTTGCTTTTATGTTACTTTGGTAATGTACTGAACATGAAAAACACCTTAGAACAAGGCTGCTGTTCCAAGCCCATGCTCAGTCTTTAGTGCCGAGATTCAATCTACAGACAGGTGACTAAGGAGTGATGACTGGAAGCATCCTAAAGAAGTACAGGGGGGTAGAGGTCTTTGTGCCTGCATGGTAGACCATGACTGATGAAGAAGGTATCAGTTGCATTCGTATACAAGCCTCCCCCCTCCAAGCATATATATTGCTTACTTCAAGGTTCAGGGTGCTGGGGCATTTAAGCCCCATACTTCTCAGTGGTTGCGCTTTAGTTGAGGATGTTTGCCCAAGTTGTATGTAATGGTGTGTGGAAAACATGTTTTGTGTAGGTGAAGAATATACAACTTCTTTATACACTTGCTATCTTTTTCTGTGAGGGAGAAATACTGTGCCTTATTAAACAGTAGTGGCATATGTATGTAAAAAACATCTGCATGTTTACTACCAAGCTCTTCAAAACAGCTAACCCCAGGTACCCAAAGCAGGTGTTGTGATGATCAGGGGACTGGAGCACCTCCCATATAAAGATAGGCTGAGAAAGTTGGGGCTCTTCAGCCTGGAGAAGAGAAGGCTATGTGGAGACTTCATAGCAGCCTTCCAGTATCTGAAGGGGGCCTATAAGAATGCTGGGGAGGGACTCTTCATTAGGGACTGTAGTGATAGGACATGGAGTAATGGTTTAAACTTAAACAGGAGAAGTTCTTTACTGTGAGGGTGGTGGGGCACTGGCACAGGTTGCCCAGAGAAGCTGTGGCTGCCCCATCCTTGGCAGTATTCAAGGCCAGCCTGGAGGTGGCTTTGAGCAACATACTCTGGTAGGAGCTGTACCTGCCTATGTCAGGGGGGTTGGAACCAGGTGATCTTAAGGTCCTTTCTGACCTTAACCGTTCTGTGATTCTATGACGCAGACTTGTTGCTTATGCTTGGACTTCCGAAATGTAAGTTTAAAGCACTGTTGTCAGGCAGAGGTAATGAACAACGGCTCTCTGCTTTCCCTCTGGCCTAGCCGTCATTCAGTTCAAAGTGATGGGATTGACCTTGCCGGGTTTCTCTGCGGGCGCCCGCAGGCAGTCCCCTTCTTCCCCCCTCCCCCCCACACCCGGCCTGCGGGAGCAGTTCGGGGCAGCCGTGCGGCCCCGCGCCGTGGTCCCGCGGCAGCAGGAGGGTGTCGAGTGGAGCAGCCGGGCCAAGCAGCCTGCACCCGGCCCCTCATGGTGCGCCCTCCGTTACGGACCCCCAGTCACTGACACCGGGCGGGCTTGCCCTTGCAAAACTCCTGCTGTATTGCAGTGCTTGTGTGCGTGATTGCCGCTACACACTAGTGTTCCCGCTTGTGCCCCTGGCGGACGGGGACTCCGTGCTCCCCCACACAGCTGCCACCTTGCCGTCAGCGCTGGTGTCGGCAGATGGAGCTAAGGGGAACAGCCTCCTCCGGCCGCCGGCCCGGCCGAGGCCGCGTTTATCTCGGCCAAACAGGCGTGCAGGCCCTGCCCCCGCCTCAGGCTGTGGCGCAGCCTCGGCCCCGCCCGGCGCTGTGGGACGGGGTGGAATGGCCGCCGCTGCCGATCACAGCCCGTTGACCAATCGGGACGGGCGTCGTAAACGCGGCGTGCGCCGTGGCGTCACAGCGTGACGTCGGTGGTGCCCATGGCCGAGGGCAGCGGACGGGGGTGATGGCCTCGTCGGTGGTGCGGGCCACGGTGCGCGCTGTCAGCAAGCGGAAGATCCAGGCTACGCGCGCCGCTCTCACCCTGGTCAGTGCCGCGCCGCTGCGGGAGGGCTCCCCGCGGCCCGTGCTCCTGTGCTGCCTTCACGGCTGCAGGAGCTGCGCCACGGGCAGGGCCGGGCCGGGCCGCGCCGCCGCCTTCCTGATCCCCCGGCCTGCCGCCCGTCCTGCGGCTGGTGGCGCTTGGCCAGCCCTCGGCTGCCGGTGACAGCGGGGCGGGACGAGCACGGGACTCGGCCACGGCAGCGTCGCGGTCGTGGGCCAGCCCCGTTATCCCGTGCTGTGTCGGCACTGCGCTGGGCTCGGTAGGAGAGGGCTGCGGGGAGGCTGCGTGGTCTCTGACAGCCACACCCCACTCCGTGAGTTGCTGGGGGGGAGCCGCTACTCCTGGCTGATGCCGCCGGCAGCGGGCTCCGCGTCCCTGCTCCTGTGCAGGCAGCTTTGCAGAGGGCAGCGCCGCGAAGGGCAGGCAGCGGGGACAGCGGTGCGGGCCCCTTCACGCGGGGCCCTTTTTGCACAGTCACTCGAGGAATTGCATTTCTTCCTTAAATAAACGTTAAGCATTACCTAGAGCCGCTGACGAGTTGTTCCCAGTGAGGCTTTCTATCCTTTTGTCAGTTGAGGAAATGCGTTTGCTACTAGCGGCGGTGTTTTGGAAGCTGTGCTTTTGAGAGGAATTATTGCAGAGGAAAATACAGTCAGTTCCCTGCAGGAACCGGGGCAAAGTGCATAGAGTTCAGTCGTTTGTCAGAGCAGGTTGATTTTCTGTTATGTAGTGAGTTTACTTCATTCTACAAATGAAGATTAATAGCGGTATTTAGAAAAGGGTTTCACCTGTAAGTCTGCTTGTGGTTTTCTTTGGTTGTGGTAAGAGCTAAACATTGCTAACGGCTTTCCTTTTCTCACTGTCTTAGAAACCTAAAAGCATGTAATGGAAATTTCTGTGTGTTTAATGTGTTCTTACATTTATGCAACAAGCAATTCTGCATGAACAGTGAATTTACCCTCTGTAAAATCCCAGTTCCCCTTTAGGTTAGAGGGATGAGAGAAGTAGGCCATAAGCACTTCTGTGCCTAATTGATTTTTGTGTGATGTCTGTGTGTTAAGAACTACTTAATTGCATTGTGGTAGTGATTCTGGAGGGGAAAATACCCAACCAAACACTCTAAAAGGATGGCAGTTCTTGAGCTGCCTGTTTGCTGTCAGTGTGGGTATGAAGGGGAGTAAGAAGCATTGTTTTCTGTATGGGTTAGATTCAGCAATCATCTGTTTCGCAGCAGAATGTGTATCTTCAGATAAGAGTCCAGTTTTGAGTAGAACTCAGGCAAGTCAATACTGACAGGTGGCTGATGCTGGAGGTGGGCTTCACACACAGGAAAGAAATGCGAACTAAGAAAACTTACGTACACTTAAGGGTTGGAATAGGGATTTTTATAGTGCAGCTAAGTATGTTGCACACTTAATATGTGCAAGCACTAACTCCAAATAAACAAAAATCCCTTTCAAATTAATGCCTGGTTTTGTTTTTCAGACCCCATCAGCTGTTCAAAAGATAAAGCAGCTTCTGAAAGATAAACCTGAACATGTAAGTATAAACAGTTCAAACCTGTAGATGGTGCTAAAGGATCAGCACAACTCATGAAACATTTGTTGCTAACTTAGAAGTTTGAAATAAGCACTGATGTGTTTATTAGAGATAATGGCTTTGGGGTTTTTTTGTTGTTTTTTAGGGGAATATATGTGCTTCTTTGATGTATCAAGCTTCATTTCTTTATCAAATGAAATGCAGAAAATAACTGATGGTAATAACATTTTGCGTTACAGCTACTTTTGAGGTGGAAAAAGTTGAAAAAAACTTAAGCTTAAAATGTTTTTGATATATATTTTAATGAAGCCTTTTAATATGGCATAGTGGTGAGTTCTGGTATGGAAAGAGATCTTCAGCTGTTGATAGTAAGATGTTGTTAATTAAGTTCTTATAGGAATTCTCATGTTGAAGTATAATAAAGTTATTGGAAAAATCTAATTCTTGGGAAAATTGCCAGAAAGGAAACTTTCTGTTTTAGTAATCAGCATTTCTCTAAGTAACTGAGCTTGTCATCTTTTCCTTTTGGGGAAAAACACAAGAGTCTTGCTGTCTAACCATTATAAAAAACAAGCATTAGATTTTCTTCTTTACAGTAAATATTATTTCAAGGAGAGTATTTCTGTTATAAGTTTCCATTGTTTCTTCTGCTTCCTGCACATCTGCAACTGAGTGGACTCTTTGTTAATGTTTCAAACCAGCTTAAGGAAGCCTTAAGCCTACAGCTTAGGCGGTCAGTCATCCCCTTGCTATAAGTGTTGTTTACATTTTCTGTTCCATTATTTGTAGCAGTTCTTGGAGATAAAGGTATTTGGTCTGAAAAGATAAAACATGTTTGTCTGAGATCCCACTTGATGACATGTGCTATGTTTCGATATATTTTTATCACAAGATTGATTATGGAGATAGGCAGTATAATTTTCCTGTTCAGTTATGAAGCATTGGTGTGTAGATACTTCTGAAAGATTGTTGTGCACAAATAGTTCTGTTTCTTTAAAATATTTTCTTATACAGTGTGCTTTTTGTCAGATTTTGTTGTTGGATACTGTGAATATTACAAACATTGACTAGGTTGGCTTATCAGGTTGATTTAAAACAGCAAGGCAGTAAACATAATTGATTTAAGGCGGCATTGCTGTTTAAGTGAGACTCACAATAGAAGTAATGAAGAAATCAAAGTATGTTTTTCACAACTTGTGTTTGAAGTAAGTTTTCTGATGGTGTTATTACAAGAATTCTGTGCAAATTCAGTAACTGCCCTTGTCTTGGCCTCCTATTGCTGTCAGTACAGAACTGGCATTTAAGTATTCTATTAATTTTAAGTCACAAAACTTCCTGTCATTGAAATGCAAGTTTCTTTAGACCAGGCACGTATAAGAGTTCTAACAGTTTATTACTTCTAAACCTTAACATAGTTTAGGGCTTGAGCCACAGTAGCAAACATCTGATGTTTGCTTTCACCTTGGCAGTCAACTTTGTAAAAGGAAAAAAAAATGTTACCTCTTAATCTGGAAGTTATTCACTTCTGGTTGAGGCAGTGGAGGATAATCATAGAATCATTGGAGTTGGAAAGGACCTTAAAGATCATCTAGTTCCAACCCCCTGCCATGCGCAAGGCTGCCTTCCACTAGATCAGGTTGCTCCAGGCCCCATCCAGTCTGGCATTGAGCACTGCCAGGGATGGGGCATCCACAGCTTCATAATAAACATAACATAAACAACAACATAATAAATGTTATTATTTTGTTGTTCTGCATACTTTTTATCTTGGTGTTCAAGAGTAAGTTTAAAAAAACCTCATGTTCTGTTGTTTGGTTGTGGTGTTTTTAGGTGGGTGTGAAAGTAGGTGTTCGTACAAGAGGATGCAATGGGCTTTCCTACACATTAGAATATACGAAATCAAAAGGAGATTCTGATGAAGAGGTAGTTCAAGATGGTGAGTTTCTGAACAAACTTCTGTGGTGGTGGTGAAGAATAAGCCTTTGCAGGTTTGCCAAGGTACAGGCTAGAACTTGAAATAACGAGTTACAGTAAGAGGTCCCTCTGTATGGGAATTGTTGTCACCTTAGTTTCTGGTTTGGAGTAACCAGTTAGTTAAAATAAGCAGCTTTGCGTCAGAGCTTTTCTGCATCAGAGGCTACTCCACCTGGATAGTTTAGTCCCTCGTTCATGTCTTCAGAGGTGACTAATAGCAGATATTTAGAGAATAATACAGAACAATGCATATATCATGAAATATTTGATCAGCATACCTAAACCAAGGCTTGGGAAAGTAAAGATTTTATTTGCAAGGGATTTTCCCAGCTACTTTCTCTAACTAGTCTTATTCTTCCCTGATGCTTGATTTGGTTTTAATTTCTTTGTGCTTTTGACTTTTGCATTGCTTTGTAACAACGGGTTTTACAATTTTTACTGAAGAATACTTTAAAAGTTGTTTTCCTACCCTGATATTTATGCTTTCTGCCTCATAATTACAGCAAGCATCACATGATAGGTCTGTTGCTAAAGTTCCTATTGTGGTTTAACCCCAGCCAGCAGTGAAGCCCCTCACAGCTGCTCACTCACTCTCCCACTGACTTTTTCAGAATGGTAAAAGTGAAAAAACTCATGGCTTGATATAAAGACAGTTCAATAGGTAAAGTAAAAGCCACACATGCAAATGAAGCAAAACAAGGTATTAATTCACCATTTCCCATCAGCGGGCATGTTTTCAAGCATCTCCAGGACAGCAGGGCTCCATCTCGCATGATGTTGACTTGGGAAAACAAACACCATCACTGCAAATGTTCTGTCTTCATTCTGCTTCCCACAGCTTTTATTGCTGAGCATGATGTCATATGGTATGGGATATCCCTTGGTTCAGTTGGGATGAGCTGTTCTGGCTGTGTCCCCTCCCAGCTCCTTGTGCACCCCCAGCCTGCTTGCTGGTGGGGTGGGGTGAAAAGCAGAAAAGGCCTTGATGCTGTGTAAGCATCTGCTCAGCAGTAACTAAAACATCCCTGAATTGTCAAACTTTTTCCAGCACAAATCCAAAACTTAGCCCCATACTAGATATTCTGGAGAAAATTTGTCCCAGTCAAAACCAGCACAGTGCTGTATGTTTTTTCAGTTTTCATAAAAGTTTATGTCAGTGGTCTTTTTGTCAAAATACAGATTGATAATAGTGTTTGTTTTGGTTTCTGTTTGTTTTCTAAAGGTTCATAGAATTCCTTTTGTGGAGGTGGTTTTTGGTTCTTTTAGGCATTACTGAACTACATTATGTTCAGAAATATTATTTTTAATTTGGTGGCAAAGTAAGAGATTAAGAGGCTATCACTGTTGTTTTCTTACAGAAGCTGTGCTGCTGGTCAGAGACCACCTTCCAGCTGTCTTTAGAAAACCTGTGACCAACACATACAGTTTTTATTCTCTTAAACAGAGAATTAGTTAGAACTTCAGCAAATGGTTAAATTGAAACAGAATATGAGCATGAGAATGTGAGGTAGGGACTGCCACCTGATTCTGCAGTTGTCTCTTGATTTCATATTCAGCTGGCTTCTGGAGTTAACCTGTCCTGCTTGATTCAAAGCTTTTCTAGCTTTACAGGCCTGAAAACACATTTTTCAGAAAGCATTTCCTGATTTGGATCTTAAGGAATCTGGAAAGCAGTTTCCCTCAGTCGGGTCAGAGACCTTACATTCCAAAACCAGCAGTTCATGTGTGCTTGTGTCATTTCTGTTTTGCTTCACTTGCTTCTAGACAGACTTCCAGTAAAGGCTCTTTTATACAGGTTTCTGCTCGGTGGCTTTGAATCCCAGCACAGGTTTGCCTGCTTTTAGGTAGTAAGTGAAAGTTTCAGGAATCGGGTCCATAAACTCTTTGATTAGGTTTAGCCTTCACTGTCAGTTACTGTCCAAACTGACCCCCAAAAAAGTATAGATTCAACTCGGTTGAATCTTGAGACTTGAGTTGTGATAATAATATGTTTTGTCTCAGTGTCTGCTGTGATGAAGCAGCTTTCCAGCAATCTTTCCTGTACCTTAATGAGGTGTTGTTGCTGTGTACTGGTACAATTCTACATGTTTATTTTTATCATTTCATAGTCTCTGGATAGCTAAAGCAGTCCACTTGCACCTTTGTGTCATATTTGCAGCTTTAAAGTTCAGTAACTTTATTCCAGAGAGATACAGGCTTTGTATACTTCAGGAAAGAAAGCTCTTTCTACTTATCAAGATGAACTGCTAGTTTTTAATCTTAAAGGTTGTGGTATATTTGAATCTTGTTCATACATTTGCCTCATTATAAGATTCAGTATTGCTAATAGTTAATGTAGAGGTAATATTTCTGGCAGAGCAGATAATAATTTTGAGAGTGAAACATTCAGGTTTTCAAGATCTTTGTGCATCTTGTTAGATGCACAGACTTTAAGAATGGTAGGAAATGGGTTGCTGGCTGTAATGTATGGGAATTAAGTATTGAAGCTGAGATCCATTCTCAAGTTCTACAGCGTCTTTCCCTAGGTGTCATATTTTTAAATCTGCCCTCAAAAAATAAGTATGTGACACATAAATACACATAAATAATAGTTCTAAACTGTTGCTGGACTTGTATAGTACAGTAAAAACAATGATGAAAGTGTCCCATGTTAGGCCAGGGAAACTATCTTATACTGATAGCCTTCATATTTAGCTTCCATTTTTTTTATCACTGGTTTAAAGAGAGTTCCAAAGTGAGTGATGATTTTGCTATGCGTAAATATTTTCTTTTTTTCTTTGATGTTCTCCAGGGGTTAGAGTGTTTATTGAGAAGAAGGCACAGCTGACACTTCTAGGAACTGAAATGGACTATGTAGAAGACAAACTATCCAGTGAATTTGTCTTCAATAATCCAAACATCAAAGGAACATGTGGCTGTGGAGAAAGCTTTAACATCTGAAATCTCAGGACTACTTTGACTTTGAACACCCCGAAACACTGCTACGGCTTTCAGAAGCAAATGCATTTTCTTCAGGTTTGTAGGCTGCGTGAAGTGTGGATACGATTAAGAAAAATAAACCCTTTTGAAAAAGTAAATTGTTTGTTAGATTCCACCACTGATGTAGTTATACTTTAATTTGTGATGAGTTGGGATTCAAAAGGTAAGAACAGTAAGTGCTATAGTAACATCTCTGTACTTTCACATGCCAAGGAAATAAAACCTATCTGTTCTTTTCGTTTGTTATTTTCTTTGTCCACTCTACTCAGACTTCCCCATCCAAAACCTATTTGAAAGAATATTACCTGTGTGTTCTGCTTTGATGGGGGGAGGAAAAAAACCACCACCAAAATAAAACCCCCAATCACTTATATGAGCTTGTTCATAAAAATTTATATATGAAGACCTCAGCTTCAGCGTTCGCTATGATTATGTGTATGCTTGCTTTGGTTTTGTAGTTTTTTGATGCTTTAATCTTTTTACATGTGGGTTTTCTGGTGGTTTATTTTTCTATAAATCTGGGGAGGTCCAAGAAAGTGTTCATGTATTAGTATAGTGGTAGGTTACCATAGAACTGCTTGTAGAAATACTTCAGAATGGACTAACCCAGTTTTAATTCTGTTTCTTTCCTTGTTGAAGGCACCGTCTCTGCTGTACTTAGAAAGTAATTTTGCAAAACATGAAATACATTTGGACAGTGGAGTACTAAAGCAGATACACATGAGCATGGTTTCTCATGTTTCTGTCATTTGTCCTTCTTGACTTAAATTGAAAAGTTGGTAAAGCTGCCTGAAGATTTTTTATTTTTTTTTTTTGAGAGGACTCTTACACTTCTCATTACTTTTTTGTAGTTATGTCTGCTACTAATTTTGTTACAGGTCGAACTCTTGCAACTGTGCAGGTACAAGGTTTTTTCTCTAAAGCTTATCATAGCTTCTGCTTAACTCTCTTAAAGTTAACTTGGTGACAGGGGAAAAGGCATTTATAATTTAAAAAAAACCCCTAGTATTTTGTAATTATTAAATGAATCTAAGCAGTAATTAAAATAGTATGTTTATAGGAAGCCATTGTTTCTTTGGAATTCAGACTTTCTCCTAATCAGAATTTATATTTTTTACACCAGTGTTCTTCAAGCCTACAAAGTCTTCAGCACTTATGCACTGGTGCTAAGGCAGAAATATATATGTCTCTCCAGGCCCTCCCAAAAGCTGATTCCATAGAAGTACTCTTCCATCCTTTTATTTCCATGTTTCCCTGGTTGTCTGAAGATGACATTGTGCAGCTGAACTGCTCAGTTGTGCTGAAGAGAAGATAATGTCTTCCTGGGCAGCTGATGGGAACAGCTAGTGAAAAGGGTGCAAATCAAAAGTAGGGGACAACAAGGACTGGGATCTTGCAGTCAAAGACAGGGTGGTGATTGAGGTGGGAGTGGAGGGAAAGCTTTAAGGCTGCATATGGAGAATCCAGAGGTAACATTGATCTGCACAGTTGCACCCACATACCTTGCAATCACATTGGAGTAGTAACATGTTGAAGACTCAGGATTACAGCCACCTGCGAAAAGGTGTAGAAGGAAGAATAAAACAGATCAAGAATTATTTTTTCATTTTTATGTAGTGCACAGGAACAGAAGGTCAAAATTCCCGCAATTACAGTTCAATATTAAATACTTGAATTTTGGTTGTATGCTCTGTCACCTTTTGATGTAAAAATGCTATTTCCTTCAACAGTCAGCTGCTGTACACGGTTACTTTATATAGCAATTCAGGAATTACTGGTAATACACTGTCTACGTGCATTTTTAGTGCCACAGGTCTTTGTCTTGCCAAACAAAAAATGCAGTTAATGTGGTACAGCTGCATTAATATGTCTAAAACTCCAAGCAAAGGGCATTTCTTCAGATCGTGTTCCTCTGCCTCTTGCTAGGGGATAAGACTTGAAATGTGGTAGCACTGGTAGGGCTTGCTATGCATGCTGCTCCTTAGTCATTTAACTTGTTTTGGTGTGTTTTGGAGTACCGGGGATTGGCTTGGGGATTTTTTAAGACCTGTGGCATGTATAGCAATCTTTTCACGTTTTGTGTATATGCCTTGACTGAAAGTTTGCACTTTCGTACTCCAGTGAAATAATCCTCTAAATTGTCACTTTACTAAGACACCTAACGCACAATGTGTTCAACTTCTGTTAAAGTCCTATTTACAGTTGCATAGGAACATGGTTTTGATGATTGGTCTGTTATAATTTTGTGCAATACTGTATGTAGAGTTCTCAGTTGTAATAATAAATATTGCCTGCTGGTAACCATGAAATATTCCTATCTTGAATGATTCTATTTACAGTAACAAGCACTAGAGGGAGAGAGTAGGTTTGTATGCTGGGGTTACAAACCTGACTTCATATTCCTCAGGAATATCGAGTATTTCAGAATATTAACAGCTTTGTAATAGCATAGAAACATGCAAAACCCCCAGCTGTGCACAGAAAGGTATTTATACGTACCAGAAAGGTAGGCTGCTAATGGTCAAACTTCTATTAAATTCTGTGGCACACTCTGCTTGGTAGAAATTCTGACAGGCAAGATGCTTACTGTGAAGGTTTCTACCTGTCAGTAAGTCACTGTGGTATGTTTAAAGCCAGGAGGATGATTTTGGTCCCAGGTAACTGTTGGCACAAAAGGTTTTTAATTGGCTAGGCAATTTGAGAGTGAGAGTCAAAGAGCATTCGTGGCCAGTCCACTGTGATGCTGTATAATGGCGCTAATATGCCATAGTGTATTAGGTTTATAACACGTTTGGGGTTTTCTCCTAGGTGCAAGTCTTTCCACCTCTGAAGCTGAGAAATTTCCTTTTTCTGTTAGGTGAAGTTTTTGAACGCTAGGGGGAGAAGTAATACATTTTGGAAGAATGCTAGAGATTGTGATGCAGAGTTGCACATTCATGATGCTGGGGAGAGAGAACCAAACCCTTCATGCAGCCAGGAGCCTGGAAGAGCAACGTTACCTTTCTGTGGGAGTTCTTATGGAACTTTGTGGAAAAAGAAACACTTGCACAAGCAAGTCAGCATTCCTGATCCACCACTTTTTATAGCTCACTTGGAAAGGCTCAAGAACAAATGTTTAGAAAAACATTAAACAGATCAATATGCAAGTCACCCTGATGGGACAAAATGAATTTGAACTCCAAAATAAAAAATTAGATGCAAGTAGTAAGACTGTGAAATTTAATGTTAAGGAAGCATACTTTTAGAAGTTCTGGGTTTTTTTTTCTTTGTTTTATTTTGGATTTATTGGTTTGTTTGGGTTTTAGGGTTTCTTTTACAGTTAAAATCCGATAATTATTTTCTTCTCATTTAGCTAAATCAACGCCTTCACTAGTGGAAAAATTCTTCAGGTATGCCACTATTGTGCTTACACTGGCTGCATGGCCATTTATTAGATAAAATGTTTATGACACTACAATCCTGCAGTCTTTTCTGACAGAAGAGTTCCATCGTTGCCAGATGGGGCAGAGTGTGCACTTCTGTGTTCATCCCAAAATGAGCCCTCAAAAGAGTACTTGAAAAATTACTTTTGTCATGACCAGTACAGCATTTTTTCTACAAAGTGATCTGCCAGATAGTGAGCAGTTCAGCCAACTTTGGTCTTTATTGCCATTTTTAATGTATATGACATCATAGAATAGTTTGGGTTGGAAGGGAACGTCAAAAGTCATCTAGTCCTCCTGCCATGCAACGAGCAGGGACACCTTCAAATAGTTCAGGTTGCCCAGAACCACATTTAGCCTGGCCTTGAATGTCTCCATGGATGGCACATCCACTACCTCTCTGGGCAACCTGTGCCAATGCTTTACCACCTTCACTGTTACGAATGTTTTCCTCACACCCAGCCTGAATCTCATCTCTTTTAGTTTAAAACCATCACCCTTCCTCCTACTGCAACAGCCCCTGCTAAGAATCCTTTTCCCATCTTATAGGCCCCTTTTAAGCACTGAAAGGTCACTATAAGGTCTCCCCAATTACTTTTCTCTAGGTTGAACAACGCAAACTTTCTGAGGCTAACTCCACAGGAGAAGTGCTTCAGCCCCCTGATTTCCATGGCCCTGGAAATACTGACCCTCTGGAACCTCTCCAGCAGGTCTGTATCTTTCCTGTACTGAGATATACTGATTCAACATAGTGAGCAAAAGCAGAAGTGCTCAGCAGACTTCGATATGCATTTGAGTTTCAGCAGCATTTGAATGGCTGTTTCGACACGCAGCGCTGGCATTTTGCTTTGGGAGACAGCAAGGTAAGGTAAATGGCTGAATATAAGCAAGATCTTCGTCCTTGCCTTTACGGTCCCTTTCAGCGGGCTGTTTTTCGGGCCGTGCGTGCTGTCGCTGGCAGCAGTGGCCCCTGAGCTCCTCACACGGCGCAGCCCGGGATCCCCACCGTGAGCCATGCCTGCCTGCTGTCAGGTAGGATCCGAATGCTGCTTTCACCTCCTGGGATGCTCGGGTGCGAGCGGGTATCCGCTGCCACCGGGTGGCAGCAAATCTCCAGTCTGTGCGTTTCAAAACTACGTATTCTAAACTGAGCAAGTAAAAATAATCCTGAATACCGGAGTATTTTTACTTATACTGGTTTAAACACTTTCAGCTCTGCTGTTCGTCCTTCTTGTACTTCTGTGTTTTTTAACTGCTCCTAAATGATGCCGATGGCTGCAGAAATGCGAAATTCAAAAACACTTCAGAGCTCCTGATGCAAATTGAAGCGGAGGAGCAGAGCGTAGCCTTCTGACCAGCTGCTGCTACTGAAGCATTGCTCTTTTCACCAATCCTCCCCTTGTTAGTAGTGTGCTAGTGTACTTCATTATTGTTGTGTCCAGCTCCAAATTATTGCAGATTTGTTTCCATCAGTTAGCTTTAACCTCTACGGTAACAGAAGTTCCAGCAGGACAAAGAATCTCATGAAACAGTATAGTCTCTATCAACAGAAATACTCTTACCCCCTACACCTTACTTATTGTTTTTTTTTACTGATTGTGTAATTGGGGCTTTTTTACTGCTTGCATGATGATTTTATTGCATGTGATTTTAGTGACAAATTCCTTCTATAGCTTTCTGAAGTTAGGTCCAGACAGCAGGAGTAAATTCCCCTTACTAGCTAATGAAACAAGACAGCCTCCAAACAGTTGAAATAACCTAAGTAGCACAATTCTATTCATACAGAGGGTTTGCAGTCAGGCATTTCCTTTTGCAACTGTGTGTTTTAGTCTTCAATTTGTTCACAGTGAATCATTCACATTGACCTTTCATTCTTAATCACAGTAGTCCTGATTAAATACTAAATAGTGGTATGAAGCATAGCAAAACTGTGTTTAAATTAGATTGCTTTGCTGTTAATGATATTTTTTTCCTTGCATTTGTTCCACATAAGAGCCTAAATGGAAGAAAGCTTTTCTCTCTCAATAAGAGAAAAGGCAACATACTAATGAATGTTGTGGTCTCTTATGAAGCACGTAGGTGTTAAGGAACAGGACCAGTCCCTCCTGTCAACCTGCGTTTTCACAAGACATATGCAGAATGTGGCCCTCCCATTTGTAAATGAGATGTAGCTGAAGCGTATAGTCAATGTTCATTTCTTGTGAATATTTAATGGATTCTCTCCCAAAATAAACAGAAAATGCAATACTTGGGTATAAAAAGCGATGTTGTAAAACCACCATTTGGAAACCTTGATGAGAAATAATATTGCTTCTCCTTGAGATAATCTGAAATTCTGGCTTTACCAGCTGATCTATAAACTGAAATTCAACCAGACACTGGCAAATCTTGCTGAAGAGGTTTTAGGAAGTTCCCCTGTACTTGCACCCTCTGTCTGAGGCTGCTACTCCTATGGCAGATTAGTGAAGGACCTGTTGAGGGTGAGTTTACATTAGTGTGTTGCTCTGAGCACTTAGATGCTCCAAGAAAGAAACTTGTTTGGTCTTGCTGAAATGTGGGAAAACCCCAGCAAAGTGAGCAGTAGTCATGTAGTGAGTGTAGCTTACTTAAACTTCCCTATCAAGAGGATCCAGAGATCATCTGCCATTGTGTTAAGGAGCCTGAAATACCTGCTGCAAGGATATTGTAAGCTGTCTCCCAGAATATTGTTTTCATGAAGAAGCTCTGGTTTCTACATATAATTTAGAACTTTAAAATGCTCTTGCAATCCTTAAGCCCAAAGGTTGTTAAACACAGGACATGGATCTTTGCCATTCCTATTTGATGGACATGGCCCACTGTGGAACTGTGAAGCAGTTTAAAAAGCCTTAGGAAGATGGTTTTGAACTCCAGGTTTTGATGCTTTGAAAGAAAACTATTCATGTTAGATCTACATGTTTGCCATCCTGCATCTTGGTGAAATTCGTGCTGCCAAGGCTGTACTTAAACTGGTTAAAACAGCCCTGCATTATAATTAGGCCCATATGTTCCACTAAGGAAGCTTTTGCATGTGCACACGTCTAAAAATGGAATCCTTGGTTTGTTACGAATTGGAAAAATATTTCCTGGAAAACAGCTCTCCGGTGGGAGCCCACCAGCACTGAGTTTTACATCAGAAGTGCATTGGTGTGCAGCAAAGGCTGTGGCTTTGTTTCTGCTCTGCTTGATACCTCTGGCTTTGCCAGCTCAAGTAGCTTCCCTCATAGTCACCCACTGTATAAAGCAAGTCTGCCACAGACCATGGTACTTTTAATTCAAGAAATTCTTGTTCTTTGGGCAGGAGGTGACGGAAGAGTGAAAGTAGGCAGAAAACCCGGAGTTTTTCACCAAGGGTAAAAGTATGTCGTTAAATATTTAGTCAAATAAAGATGAAATTTCTGCTGAGATCATGAAGTGCTGTACATGTCCTTGTGCCAGCCTGAGCTGCCATTTACTGATGATCATTTTCAAGCAAGCAGGGAATTTATCAACGTAGAAAAAGGGAAGCTAGGGGGAAAAAGAATGACACTAACTAAGGAAAATATAGTATTTTGGATGAGCTTGCTGCTGAAATCTCTTGGTCTGAGAATCCTCTCAGCAGGAAAGTGACAAATTCTGCCATCTTTGAGAATGTTTTAAACTGCAGTGGTCAAAGGGCTGTGATGTGTAACACAGATGCACAATGGTTAACTGACCAGACACTGGGGAAGAAGGTATTGACTTCTGCATGAGTACTTCTATTTTTTTCTGTTAATCTTTTCTGCTTTCAGTCAATCCTGCTTCTCTATCATTTTCATGGCTTTAAATTGCTAGTTAAAATTGCTTTTCTTTTTTCAGCACAGTGAAGGCACAGTGGATTGAAATGGGGA